GTTTTGTTTTTAAGATTTTATTTATTTATTTATTTATTTATTTATTTATGAGAGAGAGAGAGAGAGAGAGAGAGAGAGAGAGAGGGAGGGAGAGCATGAGCCAGGGTGGGGAGTGGCAGGGAAGCAGGAGCAGAGGGAGAGGGAGAAGCAGGCTTCCCGCTGAGTGGGGAGCCCGATGTGGGGCTCAACCCTGAGATCATGACCTGAGTCAAAAGCAGACACTTAAACAACTGAGCCATACAGCTGCCCCTGTAGAACGTTTTGTCAAGTAAACTGATTGAAATTTAAATGGAAGCAACAAAATTTCACCAGTCATGTTACAACCAATGAAAAGCTTCTATCAAATTGAGAATAGGCAGATTTGCTCTCCCACAAACTATTAAATAATCTTATCTACAGAGTTCACCTATAATTGTCATGTTACTAATGAAGCCAATGGATTGCCTAGATGAAATTTTTTTACAGGCCTTCTTATAATATCAAACATCATGTATATGTAAGGATCTAGCATAGAATGTCTGTGGCTGCATGATTATATCCACTTTTATTCAGTCATTCATTCATCCACGCATCCAGCTATCAGAGTAAGTAGCTACAGTGTGCCAGGCAGTGTTCTGATCAGTGAGGAACTATCAAGATAACTATCAAGATAAATGACACACAGTATATTTGTTCAAAAAGCTCAAAATTGAGTGGGTACGATAGATAATGAGATAATAACAGAAAGTAGAGCTGTGTTCAGGGTAGAGAACACAGAGAAGATGAACTAACCAGGTGGGGGAGATGATACCATTTTAGCCTGAGAGTGGAATGGGCACCTAAGGCCAGACTATGCTTCCCCTTCCATTAAAACTCCCAGTTCTGAATCATCCGTTATTCTTCCCTGAAGCAAATATTCATCTATCTAGTTGTCACTCCACCTCATTTTTGGAAAATGGCAAACTACAACTCTTCTCTACAACCCCTATTCTAATTCATGAAGACTTTAATGATCGTAGAGCAGTAGATAATCTTTATAGTTGGCCTCTCAGTTTGGTAGCTGTAAACCATCTGGAATTTCTGTTGTAACCTCTGCCTCTCCAAACACTGCCTCTAGATTTCAGCCTCCTTTCTCTGGGACCCCAACTCCAAAAATGTGTTTATTCTCTTGAGTCTGTCAGCCATTGTTTTATTGTCTCTTATTCACCTTATGCCCTCGCTTCTGCCCAACAGAACTATTCATACCCTGACACAGTCATACTCCCTTGCTATATTTTACCCTGAATAAATCCAACTCACATTCTTGCAGCTGAGTGTGGTGGCGGGAAACACCCAACTGTGCTGCCTGGGCTGGCTTTAAATTCATGATTGCTTACCTCAGTTTACCCTTTAATGCTGCCTGACAATCGGTGTATTTCCCAAGTGTATTTACTCTCATTCCCTGCTGCTTTATTATTCTATACTTTTTTCTTTCTTTAGTCTTCTTAGACTTCTTTCCTTGTCTTCACTTTCCAAGCACTGAAACAATTGTCTTCCTGTCTACCCGATTACAGGAATCAGCCCATATAGTCTATGTTCTCTCCTACTGCTATCATCTGACATGGTTGTTTGCTCCTCCTTTCTCAAAACACCTTCCTTTCCTAATTTGCATTCTAGAACATTACACCCAGCCTCTGTCTTCACTTCTGCTCAGTCTCCTTTCCTGTTCCCTCTTCCTTCCCAAGTCTCAGAATGTTAGAACCCCCAGAGCTCACTCTTTGTGTATTTGTTTATCTGTACTCACTAAGAAATCATCCAGTTTCATCTTTAAATACTTCTATACACTGAAGACACACAACTCTGTAGCTCCAGAATTCTGTATTGTAGATGTCAACTCACTGTTGCTGCGTAGATGTCTACTGTGCATCTCCAATTTAGTAAGTTTGAAACTCAGCTGCTGATATTTTCCCCACCTTATTTCTAATCCCCTTGTAGTCTTCTTATCTCAACTAGTGGCCATCACGTTCTTTCAGTTTCTCAGGTCAAACTCCACATGCAGTTCTTGGCTCTTCTCTCTGTTCATAGCCTGTCACTAAACCTTGTCACATCTGCCTTCAAGATATCTCATAATTCAGCAGCTTCTCAACAGTCTCATAACCATCACCCTGGTCCTGATCACCATCAGCCCTACCTGGATTGATTGCAAAAGGCTCTAACTGCCCCCCGCCTTTTCTCTTTTAAGCCTGTTCAGTATATTCTCAGCACAGCAACAGAGTAATCCTGTTTCCTAAACCTTCCACGAGCTCCCCTATCTCACTCAGGGTGTGAGTCAAAAACTCTGTTCTGACTAGCAGGCCTCTTACCTGAGTTTCCTTCCTTATTCACCTGCCTTTAGCTGCGTCCTCCTCTCCACTCTTCATCAGTCATGCTGGGTATGGTCTCAACAGGACATGCCTGTATTTGCTTTTCTTTCTCCTCTGAGGTTCTCTCCCCAGATCAGCAGGGCCTGCTCTCTTACTGTCATCATGTCTTTCATTAAAAATCACCTTCTCAGTGAGGCCATTTCAGGCTAACCTATCCATAATGCACTCCTATACACAGACTCCCTTGGTTATCCTGTGCTTTAGTTTTCCTCTTCACACTAGTAGGCTTCTAACATACTATTTTAATTCTTATTCTTTTTGAATTGTCTGACTCCTGGCTGAAATGGAACCTTCATGAAGACAGGGGTTCCTAGGCTGTTGTACTCCATGTTGTACCTCACTACTCGATCAGGCCTTGAGTAGGTGCTTAGCAAATATTTGTAAAAATGTGCCACAGAATTAAATGGTGAAGATTTTCTTTTCCATGTAGCTTTTAAGTGGATCAAACAACACTGAAGATTAATGGAATATCAGAGAAACATGCCACCCATCCCTCCAAACATTGCCAAGGCTGAATTTCTTCTATACTTTGCCCTTATGCTACCTTTCCCCCAGTGCATACATACCTTCTTATCAACCTGCTGTTCTTTCTCAGTTAATTTTCTGAGTTTTTTAATATAAAAGCAGTAATTATGAGTGAAGAGTATTCCAAAAACCAAGAAAAGTATACTAATAATTTCAAAATCACATCCACTTCTACCACCCACAAACCACCACAATTAAGGTATTTGATTTGAGTTCTCCCTCATTGTTGAAATCACCTTCCTTGTTGAAAATATTGGGCCGTTGGCAGATTCTGGCTTTTTATCTAGACACAGTTTTTGCTATAGACACAGTTTTTATCTAGACACAGTTTTTGAATGTAATGACTGCCAAGCTGGATACTTGGTCAACAATTACTTCCTAGTGACTGTATTTGCATTATTTGCGTTGATTATTAAGAAAAGGCCATATTCCCCTCACTTTAATGGACTATGTTTTCTTTAGTTTATTCCCTAATTTTCATATTTTTTTTCTTGTAAACTTAATTATTTAACTTTAAAAAACAAGTGTCTCACCTAGACTGATAATCCTCAGTAAACTACCCCGCCGTCATATGTCCCTGCTATTGACCTTGTCCAAGAAGTAAGACTAAAGCTGTTTTGGGCAGTATCACTTATGACAAGTTTATATTATCCTCAAAGTTTAAAAATTGGGACACATGGTCTACATTTGCTTCACACTTTTCTAGGTGTTACCTGACTGCTTTCTCCAAGTCCAATTCATGTCTCATGATAGGAAGAAGGAATCATAGAATTTCAGAGCAGCATGGATCTAAGAGATGATCAAAACCCCTTTCGTTCCCTCAGGCACCCACTTGCTCCTCCCTCATCTGCACTGCCCTCCATTTAGAAGTAAAGAAACTCTTGCACAGAGACTAACTGAATGGAATTGAATACAAATAATTTGAACCTCAGCTAGCACTTGTTTTTTATATCTAATATTGCCTTAGTAATTGTGAGATCCATCTGAATTGTGACACAATACTATGTATTCATTCATAAAAGGTATATTAATTCGTGTTTTTGCCCAAGAATAGCGTAACTATGAAATTAAATGTTCTCTTAGCTTCCCTTGGCACCCCACATAATCCACCATACATGTAGATGTCAAAAGGAGATTATTTTTCCCTCTGCCACGCACTGTGCCAGATATCAAGAATTGACTTTGCTGTGTTTTACAACCTGGAAATCATGGCTGAAATGTGGGCTTGGTTTTGTTTTGTTTTGACATACAGAATGGGCTGTCTCCACTTCACATGGCTGCACAGGGGGACCACGTGGAATGTGTGAAGCACCTGTTACAGCACAAGGCGCCTGTTGACGATGTCACCCTAGACTACCTGACAGCCCTCCATGTTGCTGCACACTGTGGCCACTACCGTGTGACCAAACTCCTTCTGGACAAGAGAGCCAATCCAAACGCCAGAGCCCTGGTAACCTGGCCTAGTCCGCATTAACAGAATATAGATTGAGACAAATATACCACAGGGATTGACCAGTGCACACCAGCCAAAGCATGGTTGCAGATACGTAGTTAATTCTGCTAAGTTCATTAGCTCCACAAGTGGCCTGCCTACTTCATGCCTTCATGGTTTGCTGTTAAATGATGGGGAGCAAGGACAGATTTAGGAAAACACCAAGGTAACATTTCTACGACTAGCGAGCTGCAGATAGGTATGAAACCTCTGGAGTGATAAGCAGTTGTAAATGGAAAATAGAAGTGGAAAATAGGAAATCATAAAATAAATTCTAAACACCTTGATATAGAGTCAGAATAAAAGTGTAAAAATGTTGAATGTTATTAATCTCTATTTGGAAAAAAAAAAAGGCATTTAAAGTGGTGAAGAGATTTGACCATGTAACATAGAGTAAGATGTAAGCCTATATAGTGTTCACTTAGAGGATTTCCTTATTGACCTCATTCCCTAAACATGGTCTAATGTAAAAGTGATGCTTAGCATTTTACTGTTCTGGGAAGCATTTTATATACATTATTCCAGGAATTGCTCAAGTGAATCTACACGAGGCGGTCCCTAGAGCAGCCTCTGTATTTCCCAAGGTCTAATATTGAATAAATCTTCCTTGCTTCACTTACATTCTAACAATAATCATTGGAAGTATTAGGCATGCACTAATTTATGCTCTTGTTTCCTAATTCTCAAAATAAAAGCAATCGTTTTACCCTATACATTTACATAGTTAATATTGGTTAAATTAGTCTTCAGACAATATTTAAAATGAGAGAATGCTGTGAGAATTATTAAATAATAAATCTTATTTTTATTAGAAAATTTTCCATTGGAATCCATTTATTTCTAAATGCCCAGGAAGCAAATATACTTTTAAGGTTATGTGCAATTAGGAGAGGATACTTATTTTCTCATAAGGAGAAAAATATGCATTTTCAATTGGGTAGTGGTCAATAAGCTTATAAAACATTACAATCTCATAATTAAAAATCATTTGAGTGCTACACATACTTTTGCCTATTTATGTCCGGCTTACTACATAGCTCATAGACAGGAAATGACTTAACAAACATTGTGAAGAGTAGTAAGTCATTAGGTTAAGTAAGACAGTATGCTTTTATGGGAACTGCTAAGTGCAGAAAAATATTGACTGATGATCAGTCTCCACTGAGACAAGCAAAATAATTAATTGGCAGAATAGATACAACTATTCTACATAGGATCATTGTTAAAATAAAAGTATAAATACTTACACATAAGGATTAAGCATGGGACTAGTTAACAAATTTTTATGTACTTATCCCCAGTTTCTGCACATTGCCTAGTTTAGAAAGTTAAAAATGTCTTAGAGAATTCTCCACATTCCTTTGCCTCTGAGACATATCTTCTTCCAGTTATGAAATTCTCCATTCTTTTCTTGAAAATATTTAAGAACTTAATGACCACGTTTTTATAACATAAAATGTATCTGATTGGCATTTGTTATAAAAACTTTTTAATATAAGAAATATAACTTCTGGATGTAAAATATTATCAGTATAGTGGGTTTTGGTAATATACAGCAATTCCTTACAAAAATTTCTTAATGGAAGATATATAACTTTTGAATATGAAAAATTATTAATGCAAATAATGATTTCTGCTAATTTGCAACAACCCCTCCAAGAAGAAAATGGTAGCATCGCTGAAACATTTATTGTAGAGACAGTCATGCCTATAGTTGAAGTAAAACAGACCAACAATTTGTAGCTTTAAGAAATGGCCTTTCATCAGAAAAATAACATGCTTATCTTCCATGCACCTTCAAGCCATTCATAATCCGACCTATCAGTATTCCTGAAAACACCTTAGAACTTCTAAAGTATCATTGCCCCTCTAGTTTTCCTTCTTTGCAGAGCAGACCCATGTAGTTTTCTTCACTTCTGTTTTTCTTGATGAGCACACAAAAAGAATTACATACAGGCCCACCACATAGCAGCCAAGTTCAGTGCCTACAGGAACACACACCCACTTCTCTTCGCAAATCCCAGCACCTACACAGCTCAGAAGAAATGGTGAACATTATGTGACGATGTAACATTACTGCCTGCCATGTGCCAGCATGGAGTTGTGTGAGGATCGTTTCTGCATGTTTTCAACTAACTTGATTGTCTTTTGCACAGAATGGTTTTACTCCACTGCACATTGCCTGCAAGAAAAACCGCATCAAAGTCATGGAACTGCTGGTGAAATATGGGGCTTCAATTCAAGCTATAACAGAGGTAGAACAATGTTTCAGCTTGTCACGAAACATTCCTTCTCTTACTCCTTCTTCCCCTTCCTGTCACCCATCCTCTGTCCTCTTCACTCAAGTCTTATTTATCTGACGAAGTCCCCAGAGCCCCCACCGGTGCAGAGGAGTAAAACTGCTGTTGCTTTGTTTCGCAGTCTGGCCTCACACCAATACATGTGGCTGCCTTCATGGGCCACTTGAACATTGTCCTCCTTCTGCTGCAGAACGGAGCCTCTCCAGATGTCACTAACATTGTGAGTATGGCTTGGGTCAGAATAACCACAGGGAGAGAGAGCGAGAGGAAGAGAGAGGATGGCTGTGTGTAGGGATGTTTGTGTGTATGTCGTCAAGGAGAGCGGCTGAGCTTTGAGCAGGGCCTCCGTGATCCCAGGTTACTGAAATACACAATAGAACTTTGCTGAGAAGAAGTGGGTTAGGGAAACAAAATGGGAGCTGCAGAAGCTGTTTCAGCTCATTGGTGCAGATGGATTAAACATGCATCTGAGATACATTTATGAAAACGAGATACGTTTCAAATGAAGGATTGGTTGGAATAAAATCCACAGGACTCGTTCCAGTTACTTGAGTGAATTGTGTTCCTGGTAATTTTGATTAACACGTCATGTCAGTACCACAGTCAGTCATAGGAAATGGTTAACCAGAGATAGACCCATAGGAGGGATTTCTATTTGATACCAAGTTCTCCCTCCTTCAATTACATGGATTTTTCATTTTCTAACCTTGATTTTTCATTTTGATTTGATTTTGTTGGCTAGAGTGGAGTCCTCTCTTACCTGAAATAATGATACCATTGAAGCTCTTTCCTGTATTTTTGAAATGAATGTTAGTCTCCAGGCAACTTTTATTCTGCCAATGACTACTGGATATCCCAGAATTCCTCTACCTAATTTATATTAGGATTTTTACTTCCAACTTCCTTATTATTTCTTTCATTTTCTTGGAGTCTGCCCCTTTAAACTTTGATCATTTAATGCAAATTTTCTCCTTAATCTGTACAAGATGTAGTCATGGATTTGAAGCTGACAGGGACCACTGGAATATTGAGATTTTTCTTAAAGTATGCAATAGAAATAACTCTCCCCAAATAAACATCAGTACTTAATACTTAGTCATATTTTCAAAAGCAATTGATTGACTATTGTTGTTAAATTTTGGTATATCATTCCATTTGAGTGTGGAACAGAATGTTCAGTTTCACTTTTCATTTGTATTCTTTCTCCCATTCTCATTTTTTTGCATTTTACACACCATTTCTATGCTTAAGTTTGTGATACATGGACAAAATCCATGTGAAATAAATTTATCTAGTTTAAATATTATTTAATACTCACTCTTTATATAATTTTCAGTTGGAGCATAAAATCATTAAATAACTGAAATACAGTCTATGTTTGTTTCCCTAATTATAGCTTATGGATCCTAAAGTAATAATATTATACACTAATCTTTAATTACTCCATTAAGGATAAGAGTAATTTCAAAACATGCTAGTTTGAGTTGAACTTCTAGTCACTACTTAGAACTTTAAAAGAAATCAACATCATCCTTTTTCTGTGCAGAAGTGATGACCACCTCTTTTTTTTTTTTTAAACTGAGAGCTGTATGAACTAGTAACTTTCAAGAAAAATACTCTGTATTCTTTTTCACAATACTATATTTTCCTTATTCGTATTTCATTGCCTTCAGGATCAAGGAGCAATGGTGATATTGTGTTAAATTATGTTATCATATTATAATAGTAACATACACTAGTATATTCTATGTGATAATTTATTGAAATCCTCTAGGTTAATATTTTAGAGGAGAGAGTTTTGTAAAATCTTTTAAGAAAATCCACATGAAATGGTTGTGGGATTCTGTGGCCACTCTTAACTTGGCTCTTAACTGGCCAATTCCAAATCATTGATGGTCATGGATTTACTCCATATTCCTATGCTCCCCCTCTGGAAAAAAAAAAAGTAATATAGGCTACCTGTAGATTTTTAAATTAAAATAAATAAAATATCAACTAAAACAATAAAAATATTTATATCCTCTAGGTTCATAAAGAGTCCCAAATTTTGTAATTGCTGTATTAAACTTATCTTCTGCCTACCACTCATTATAAAGTTCATTTTGTTTTATCTTCTCATTTGTCTATTAAACATTCTTTCTCTTCTCTTCAGTCCCCTCCAATACTTGAGAGGCACTTGCTAAAATAATCCTCTTCTCAAGATCAAGATATTTCCCCGTTGTTTTTTGTTTGTTCTTTTTTTTTTTTTTTTTTTGTATTATATGTCCTTCAAGGAGTAGATACCACGTAGATAGATAGAGTTGCCAGATAAAATACAGGACTCCCAATTAAATTTGAATTTCAGATAAATGACAAATTTTTTTCGTATAAGTATGTCCTGTGCAATAGTGGAGACATATTTATGCTAAATAATTATTCATCGTTTGTCCGGAATTGAAATTTAACTGGTCATCCTGTATTTTTGTTTGCTAAATCTGGCAACCCTACATGTAGAGGAATTTAATATCTCTAGCACTGGGATGCCTGTGAACTTGTACATTCTCAGGACATGAGGATATAGCTAGCAGGATATAGCAGGTTGATTAAGAAACTGTGTGAACACTTACTGCCTGCTTGCTGTGTCAGAGTTGGTCATTTCCTGACCCCAAAGTACCCCACCCTTGGAGCCTTTGTGTGTTGCCTGAAAATCATGTTGCATTTTTGAATGCAATGCTGTCTGTTGTGCTTTGATGCTTTCCAACTGATGCAGCCAAAGTGGAAGTCCATGTAGCTGTTGGCAAAATCTGTTTTAACAACCAAGAAGAGGGGCATGAAACTGAGTACCTGCTTTGGACGTGAGCATACCCATTCTCTTGCCAGTCTTGTTTTTGTCTCAAAATTCACTCCAAGTGTGAGATGTACCAGTAACTCAATCAGGCGCAGATATTATTATCGCAAATCCTCCCTTCTGAAAAGCTCACAAATGCACTTTAAAACCTAGAAAGCTGAACTACCAGTTGTAATACATCCATAATCCAAAGTATTCATTGACAACCATGGGAGTAGGAAACTAAGCACGTTCAGGGCTGTCTAGAGTACAATGTGAGGTCTTACAAAGTTTTCTCCTATAAAAATTGATGGACTCATGGCTAAGTTCACACTTCATATTATATTTAAAATTTCCCCCAATAATTAAAGTGAATGAGCTTAAGATAAAGAAAACAAGGGTATTGAGTAAGGTGAGTTGCCCAAAATCAAGAAATGGAAATTACTAAAATAACCTTTATATATAGCTTATATCATTATAATATAGCTTTCATTTTTTATTTATAGTTATATATAAAAAAGGGTAATATAAAAGGGTAAGAACAACTTATAATGAAAATCAGTTACCCCAAAGTCATTAAATAATTTTGAACAGAACCATTGCTTTTAATCAGAGAGACGTATATGTATGTATATACAGATATATATATATATAACTTTTCTTTGACTATAATGTTTAACACTTTAGGTTTTATATCTAATTCACTGATTTCAAATGTATAAATAGCATAAGAATAACTCATTCTAAGTATATAATAAGGATATTGGAAATATAAAAACTAATATTGGAAGTATTATAAACATTTTACACTCTGAAACCACTTATTGATAAAGTTTGGCTTGTAAACTAAACATATGAATCTCTCATTAACTCATGATGCCTCTTTGACTTAACTTCTTATAAAGAAATTTATTTTTGTCTTTATTTCTAGTAAAATTTAATAAAATTGCTATACTTTTATAAGACTTAAAGTAAGAATGTGAGGGCGTTTTGTTGTTGAGTAGTTAGACCTTACCTTCATCTGTTTAGAGACAGATTTTAAGTGATATAGAAAACAAGTTAGAAATCATGGTTGTCCAAAGAGGAAAAAATCTTGCCATATACCCAAAGTTTGAAGACAAATATTGCTATTCCAATAATGTGATTTTATAAACCAACACACTCCAGATACATTTACTTTCCAAAAGTCAAAACATGTCACCATTATACAAGGCCATTAGAGGATAAATGAATTATCAACAAAAAAGAAAAAATATTAGAGTAGACATCCAGTTTGATGCTTTCAAAATCAAATCATTTGAAATGAATTTTTCACAACTTCATAAGGAATGGGTCTCAGATACCAGGAAAAAAATGAACTGTGAGCTATGTACCAAACTCAAGTTGTGCAAGGAATCAGAAGAATCTATTTACTGGAATTAGTCAAAAGTATCCAATTACCACAAACAACTTCAAGATCAATTTGGCTTATTTGGAATGGTTTACTTGGTTGAAATCGGCTTTATTTTCTAGAATGGTTGTGGTGACTAGAAGTAATCATTTCTGTTCCAATGTCTTGTTTTTTTTTATAACCATAAAATTGTTTGGAAGAATGAACCCCTGGCTTCTTCAGAACTACATGGGGTTTTTAAATATGTTGATTAAAACAAAAACAAAAACCTTCTCTCTTATAGGCAGTAATTAACAGGCTTCTCAATGACAAAATTTCTTTCATCTAATCATCATCCTCCATGCTACAGCTTAAGCTGCCATTTCCTGGTCAGTGTGCCGTATCTTGTTGGGGCACGAAGATATTTGAGGAATGACCTGATGCCCAGTGCTGCCCACCTCAACAAATGACAGTGTTAACAGATGCTTTACTCATCTCTTGGTAGTTCTCTCAAATAACTGTCTATAATTGAATATGCTCATTAATAATAGAGGGACATCCTGGGCAAATCAAATTCCTTCTGTAAGCAGTCATTGTGTAGCCTTATAACACAAAGATAAATCCAACGTGGAATAGTTTATTTCAGAAGTAAATTTTGAATTCTGAATAGGAGTGACTTACATATGGTACAAATGACGTGATTTTTTTTTGCACTGTGTTGACATGGTCTTTAAGGAGTTTCTGCTTAAAATGGGATCAAGTTGTAATCACGTAGTCAAATATGACGATGACAGATTTTAGGTTTGAAGGATAAAAGACAACTTCATATCACCTGAAGCAGTTTAAGTTATGCCAGATTGACTATGAAGTTAAACTTCAGGGTATACTGGATGTCTGGGTAAGTTCCTCGTTTGTCACGGACTGAAAAAAAATGAAATAAACATTTGTTTTATCCTTATGAAGATGGAGAAGATACAAAACTGTATTTTTCCAGACTAAATAATTATGAAATAATTATGCCTTTTCATAGATTTCCTAAACCTTTGGATCGATTGCTGAGTCTCACAAAAAGGCACATTTTTATCCTTTACCATACAAGCAGTGGGTTTACTTATGACTTAATGATCTTTGTTTCCTGGCAGCGTGGGGAGACTGCATTGCACATGGCAGCCCGGGCAGGACAGGTTGAAGTGGTCCGATGCCTACTGAGAAATGGTGCCCTTGTCGATGCCAGAGCCAGGGTAGGTGCCGGTGCTCGGGCTTCCCTCTTATTGTGTGCATGAGTTCCATCTTTAAGAGAGAATGCTATTCTCCATTTCCTTGATTTAGAAATGCCATTGATTGTAAATGAAAGCATCATTTCAATAGTTTTTCAGGCAGAAAAGGAAATAGTATTGTAAATATTCATAATAAAATGCACCCCAATTTCAGAAACATTAACATTTGAAAAAAATACATAATTTAGTATCTAAAAATTGTGGCATTGACTAACCTAGTAATTTTTTAACCTATGAAAATATTTTTACATATATTCTTTCTTTACATGAATTTTTAAAATATGACCTATACTATAGAGATACTATGAGTATTAAAATTGATTTCATACTATAAGGTCAATCGAATTTCCAGACATTACTTACTAGTTACTTAAAAACAAATTACATTCAAAGTTTTAATGTACCTTTACCTGTTTAGTTTCTTCCTTTCTATAATGAGCTCTACTTTTCTTCTTACTCTGATTTTATGTAGTTAAGACATTCTGCTCTTCCGCTATTCCAAAATAGAAGAATTCTGGCCCTAGAGATTACTAGGAGATTACTAGTCAGATTCTCTTGTTTCTAACTGACTTCTTATTCCTTTACAGGTTGATTTTTCCTTCCCTTTTTTTTTTTTTAATTCACTTTCCAATTGCTTTTTTCACCTTCTTCCTCTACACTGAATATACTAGCAATTTTTATTAATATACTATCTTCAATTTCCTTCCCACATCATTCCATTACCTTCTGCACTAGCATCTTTGGGATTCTCAAAGAGTATCTGAAGTCTTTCTCTCCTTCAATATTTGATGTACCTGGGCTAGAACTCACTTCAACTTGAATTGTGCCATCATGATTCCCTTTTGGAAATGGTATTGTATTGGAATGAAAGCATCTGGTTAGAGTCCCATACATTGTCATTTCAGGCAAGTCATTGTGTTTCTAGGTCTTTATCATTAAAATATAGAGGTTGGGCTTAGACACCTTGAAACTCCTTTCCAGACTTTCTTAACATTCTCTGAATTTATGATTTTTTTAAACTATTTTTTTTAAAGATTTTATTTATTATTTATTTGACAGAGAGAGAGAGAGAGAGATCACAAGTAGGCAGAGGGACAGGCAGAGAGAGGGGGAAGCAGGCTCCCAGCCGAGCAGAGAGCCCGATGTGGGGCTTGATCCCAGGACCATGAGATCATGACCTGAGCCGAAGGCAGAGGCTTAACCCACTGAGCCACCCAGGCGCCCCAAATTTATGAATTTTTTAATAGCATTTTTCCACAGACCTTCATGAAAAATCCAGTGAAACATGGGCAGCCTTGACATTAATCTTGTCCTTTCGGATTTTATCTGCCTTTTTATCCAATGTGTGAGTAGTGTAATTTATGTTCTTTGGTAATTATCATCAGTATTTTATGTTATTTATTTAGAGCTTTGTTGTTCAAACCATATTCTTCCAAGCTGTGGCATTTTTATTGTTTCTCCATGACCCCAAGACTATTTTTAAGAGCAGTTTTAGGTTCATAGCAAATTGTGAGGAAGTTACAGAGACCTCCCATATATGCTCTGATCCCACAGGTGCATAGGCTCCTGCATTACCAGCTTTCCCCACTAGAATGGTACATTGTTATAATTGATGAACACACATTGTCACATAATAATCCCCCAACGTCCATAGTATATATTAGGGTTTACTCTTGGTGTTGCACATTCTGCAGGTTTGGACAAATATATAATGACATGTATCCATCCTTATCATGCAGACTAGTTTTATTGCCCTAAAAAACTTATGTGCTCTGCCTACTCTCATTTCCTTCGAGGTTACCTGACATTCAGCTAATTAAAAGGAAAAAAAATGTACTCTGAGTATCATGAACTTCACTATTTTATGAACTCTAAAAAAAATCAATGTATTCTGAGTATCACGAACTTCACTAATTTTATCAGAAATTGTGATAATATTTCTGGTACATGTTTGTAATCCATATTTAATAATAAAAGGGTTTCCTCTTTACCTTTCAAAATAAAACAGCTTCATATTTGTCTATATTCAAATTTTAATTTATTTTTAATGGAAATTTGCTTATTTTCATGTGTCTTTGTCAATTTTTTTTGTTATCAATTTAACCCGTTATTGCCTTATGCTTTTCTAGATACCATCTGAAACCCCTTCCTCCAAACTACTGGTTACAGACTCTTTACTTTGAAATATTGTAACATTTATTCATTTAAAAAAATTTTTTTTACACACACATTCCATCAATTCTATTGTTCTGGTGTGTCTTTTGTTTTTGATTTTTTGTTTTAAGAGAGAGTACATGTGAGTGGGGAGGGACAGAGGGAGAAGGAGAGAGAGAATCTTAAGCAGGGTCCGTATGGGGCTCAGTCTCACCACCCTGAGATCATGACCTGAGCCAAAATCAAGAATCGGACACTTGACTGACTGAGCCACCTAGGCGCCCCCAATTCTATCATTTTACTTTTCTTTTGATGGTCTACATATGTAAATAAACATTTTTAACTTTTTATTCCTCCTTATTTAAATATTAAATGTCAGGATCCTCTGTTTTTCAGCTCTACCACCTATCCTAAGTTGCAGCTAAAATTCTTCCTTATAGCATCGTTCTGATTGCCGATGGGAGAAACTACCATAGTGTGGTAGAGCCATGCTACTAAAGGGTCATTATGTGTATGACATCACCTGGGGATCTCGTTAAAATATGGAATGAACTCAGTAGGTTGGGGTGAAGCCCCAAATCTGCATTTCTAAAAACTCACAGGCGATGTTCCCCATCCTGGAATTATACTGTGCAGCAAGAAGCTAAGGTTTTCCTTTTCACATGTTCTATTTTAAGTTATACTTTCACCATGAGTTTCTAATTTTTTAGACCTTTAGATTTCCCTGGAAATCTTTGATTTAGTTAACATTTGTACAGTGATGTATACTTCATGAAGCATTTTAATACGAATTATCTTAGCACAGAGCAACCATGTATTGTAGGGTGGCTTAGGGTCCCAAAATCCAAAATTGTGCTGCCTTTCCTGAGGTCGTGGGGTTAGAAAGTGTAAGAAAAGGGTTCCTCCTTGATTCTGTATCTTTCTCCTAGCTTTTTTCTGCAGATATCATTATCTCGTTTTGGGCTGTAAAGAGAGCCCTTATTTCTCCTATCTAAACAAACAACAGGATTCTAATTAACCACATTTACCACCTGCGCTGAACACTATGGTGGGTATATAGTATCAAGCCTGGGCTCCAGGCCCATTCATGTGGTCCATTCATAATTGGAGTGAGATGATTGGCAGCCCCTCCAGAGCCACATGTAGTGGGGGGTACCCTCTTTCCCCAAAGGAGGGAGGGCTCTTCCCAGAAAAAGGGTGTAGGGGGTATTGAACAGAAAAATGAAACTCTATCTCTTCTGTTTTACCTTCTGGTTTCCCAGCAAGCATACCCATATACATGCACTTCTGAAACTCTCTCTTTCTCTTAACCTACTGCATTGCTCTATAATTCACTCCCTCCCAAAGGGGAGATAGTCAGCAGTTATACTCAGTCACTACACTCAACTCCAAGGGCAAGATCTCTCAATAATCTGTATTCTCCTTAATCAGGTTTAGAAATAATATCTCATGGTTGTGTAATCATTTTTCATATAATGAAAGAAAAATCATTTACTACAACAATGTCTCTCATTTAAAAGTGCGAGCTGCATCCTCTTCTAAATCAAGACCATAAGGCGATTTTGCTGGACAGACTAAGAGAACAGGGACTGCAGTGGCGTTAAGTTCATTGGTCAGTCAGTGTTTGCCCCCAGACCTTGCTCTCACAAAGGTACTTCCTTGTCCAGGATCCTCTATGGATATGACTGAGAGAACTACTGGGGTCCACCCATTGGGGACCTCTCTTACTTGAGGAGCCCATGTGCTGTTGGCACAATATGGAGGGCTGGCATTTGCTTTAGGGATTAAGCAATCACAGGGCCCTGAGGCTTAAACTCACTTGAAACTTAATTCACTCTATTACTTCAGTTAGCTGCCAGTCAATTTGGTTCCTGAGAATCCTGTTAGCTAGAAATGAATAGCAGAAATTTTATCAAATATTTCAACTTTGTCTAAGCTATTGCTATTTCTGTCTTTTGGTAAAGGAGTTGGGGCTCAGCAGGTCTTCCTAATTTTGGAAGACTGTAGCTTGTGGGAGTAAGGCAGAGCTCATCCCTTCCTGGTCCAGGCTGTATCACAGTCAATAACACTTTATTTTGAGGGAATTATTGATCCTTACATATGGAAGAGCCTAGAGGATCAAGCTAACCCTCCCTTTTTAAAGTCCTTTCCATGAATATTATTTTCTGCACTTTTCCAATTCTTTGCCTTGGCTTGCATTTACTTTACTTTGGAGCAGCAAATGCAACTTTTGCAGTTCAACTGGGAACTAATTACTCAAACCTTAAAAGGTCTTATATCTTTAGTTACCAGTGGAAAGACTTTCTAACCAAACTTGTTTGTTCTTCCCTTTTTTATTCTCAGATAGGACTATACTAAAAGTTGAAGAAAGTAGACAAGACAGTTTATTTGTTTAAAAAATTAAAAACAAAACCAAACAAGATCAAGTGCCTAAATGCTCTGGGGTCTGAGAATCAAGGGACAAGAGTTGATAATTTAACCAAATAGTTGGCTGCTGCCAGCTCTGGATGAAGGTGTCCTCATTGTCCCAGCTCTCCAACTCACTCATCAAGAAAACCTTTTAGATTATGTCATTTGCAATACCCACCTCTATCAAATTGTATTAGGCAGAGGTGCAAGAAGGGAAACCCAGAAGCAAGAGATGTTCATGATAGCTATTAGGTTCTTTGGTTCTTTTATTGTTGTTTTGTTCTCTATTTATCTTTGTAATTTAATTTCCCCCATTTGTCTATTTTCTTCTTTGTTGTGTTTCAGAAAACAGTTGTATCTTCTAAAGTGCTTTCTGTCTCCTTTCCTATTGAGAGTCACCCCATTCTGTTAGTTTTCTCAGTGGCCAACTTACTGTGTCTATTTCTGTAGGATGTATAGGCCAATGAGTGTCTTTGGAATCCAATGCCTGAATTCAAGTCTTGTTTTAATAGCCTGGTGACCTTGAACAATCCTGGAGAACCACTTTAATTCCTCTTAATCTCTGTTTTGCAGAAAATGGTCAAATAATACATTTTTGGCCTTCATTTCTGGTCTTCTGTAAGAATAGGATCAAGTATGCATGGTACATGAAGGAAGGTTATAAATTGCATTTTCAAAAAAGATTCCAATTCTATTACTAAAACACTTCTATTATTGTTATTTATTATTTACTTCTCACAACCTGAAATTCATACAATGCTATTTCATCTCCTTCTGTGGCTCCCTCTGAATACTTTTTTTTCTTATACTTTAAGACACAACATTTATTTAAAAGCTCTCCTCCACTCTATTATATCTTTTTTTCCATTCATTCTTAGTTTAGGAAGCTGACCCAGCTCTTCTTTCCTCGCTTTGATTATGACATGCCCTTGAACACATTGTAAAGACATACCTTTTTTTCAACACTAAGGTTATGCTCAATTTTCTTTTTTCATAAAAGAATGGTTTGGCTTAGTTCTCTTAACATTGAAATGAAAATATTTTCCTGACTACACATTAGAGTCAGGTGATTTCTTGAGCCTCCTCCAACATATCTTCCCTATTCCTTGTACCAGCTATGTCCTCTCCGTGTTTCTAAATGAAAAGCCACGTGGCAAATACTTAACCCCATTTGCTTCTTGTTGGAGTTCCATTTCATCTTGAAGTTCTGGATGCAAGTCCCTGAACCATCTGCACTGTTTCCTGGAACAACATTAAAAAAAAATCAGATTGTAATATCTTCTTTATCTGCAGTCTTTCCTTGAAGAAAATGACCAGCATTTCTATCCTTGGCTTTGTTTGAGTGGAGTAAGAACAGTTTTCCCAGAATTCCTCATTCTTTTTCTCTTTATATGGTTCCCAGAATAAATACTGTCTCTTAGTGAAAGCTTTTGGATGAGAATCTAGGTCTTAGTCCTTCTGGACTAGATTTCTTTCTTATTCAGAACCACAAATTGGTGTATATTTAAGCGTAAATGAGGGCTGAAGCTTTAATGATTTGAGTAACATGTTGGTGTGCTCAGGAAATAATGACCAAGTTTATGGAAGTTCATACTACTAAAAAAAAAATCTAAGAAAGATTTTTGTGACCAGACAGGTTACCTCCATAACCAAATGTAAAATAAATCATGGTCAGAGTAGTAATCATTTCCTTTTGGATAGCAGTTCCTAGAGATCCCAAGAAGACATCAGGAAACATCTGAGTGGAATATGTTCTCGGTGAAGTCTGGCTTGTTCGGGCACTAATGTTTTACTTGACTTGAGTTGTAGGAGGAACAGACACCTTTGCACATTGCCTCTCGCCTGGGTAAGACAGAAATTGTCCAGCTGCTTCTACAACATATGGCTCATCCAGATGCAGCCACGACAAATGGGTACACGCCCTTGCACATCTCTGCCAGGGAAGGCCAGGTAGATGTGGCATCGGTCCTCCTGGAAGCAGGAGCAGCCCACTCCTTAGCTACCAAGGTAAGAGGATGGCTCCCTGACAACATGGACTAAGGGGGATCCTGAGTCAGGGTTCCTCTGTTCTACTATATACAGTATCAAGAAGGGTAGGTCTTCTTTAGGCCTCTGGCTTACTTCTTTCTATTTGAATATTTTAGATTCATTTTCTAAATTATCAAAGGGGTTTGTGAAATTCCATATCATAGCTTCAACAAAGAGTGCTAGAGTCCATCCTTCTAAGTACTATTGTTTCTAATACAGGTATCTAGTGCTTTAACTAAGATTATTTCCATAGAGCAAGGGCTACTTCTCTTCTCTTTCCATTAGAAAATCTATAATGTATTCCTTTTTTTTTTTTAAGATTTTATTTATTTAACAGATCACAAGTAGGCAGAGAAGCAGGCAGAGGGAGAGGAGGAAGCAGGCTCCCTGCTGACAGAGAGCCCTATGTGTGGCTTGATCCCAGGACCCTAAGATCATGACCTGAGCCGAAGGCAGAGGCCTAACCCCCTGAGCCATCGAGGTGATCCTATAATGTATTCCAAAGAGAAAAAAAATAGAAGGTTCCCAAACACATTGAACTAGTAAGGAAGGAAATTGCATTAAGTTAGCAATACTATATTTGCTAAGAGTTTTAGTACTATCTAGAAGTTCACCTTACTTGGTTCTGCATTTTTCCAACTCTGGTATCAGCTGTCATTCCCATTCTGCTCTCTAGTATTTGTCAGCTATATTCTTGCCTGGGTATTAACAGCGTCTAATAGAGCTGGGCTGGAAAAGCACTTTATCAGTTGTATATTCTCTGTACACACCAGCCTGAATTTTATTTATTCAAAGTTTCATCCTAGGGCAGAATAATGTTTTTTTCCCCACTTGATACATTCTATTTGAAATTCACTATTTGGATGCAACTTAGAATAAAACATGAACACCCTCAGCTAATCAGAGCAGAAGAAATTGGACAGGTACAGAAGAGTATAAAAATGAGACAAGTTTAAAGCTCACAACAAGTGTAGTGTTTGTGAGGCAAAATAATTCCCATAAATACGACAGTGATTCATACTATTTAAAAGACATTTTCAATTTGCTCGTAACAAATAGGCACAAGGACTACATCTAAGGGAGAAGTATGAACTCAAGTACTGTTGTGGCATCTCTCCTCCTAGAAATAGGAGCAGCCCACTAGCCATTATGACTTGATCTGGTTGCTTGTGGCTATAAAATATGTTTTATTGTAAAAAAATTGACCATTGTTCAAATGCTGAACTCTGAAGAGTTGAAAGGATTTTAAAAGTCATTTAAAGAAAAAGTCAGAAACTAGGCAACAAACAAAATAGTGATAACAACAACCCAAGAGAGACTGGGTGATCGTCTCATCAGATGAAGGTGACAAATAAATTCAGATATGTAAAATACAGGAATAGAGAGTGAAGCATAGTACCTTGCAAAGATTTTTAGGATTTAAAAATACATCTAAAGCAATAGTAAAGTGTGGTGGTTAAATGGAAGGAACTATTAAACTGAGCAGTTCAGCAGTGGAACTCACTGGGGTTCTGATGAAGAGTTGACTCATCATCATTAAAGCTATTTGAGTGTTTCTAAATATCAGAGGGTAAATGAAATCCTGATGAGATTAACACAGGGGAAGAAGGAAGATGTGTGACTCAAGAGATGCTTTCCAACCCCTATTTTGTGATTCTACAGTAAAGATTCTATGTAGTTTTGACTAATAATAGGTTCCAAATTTATAAAGGGGCTGGATCACTATTCCGGCAGGACTTTAAGGACAGGCACTTCTTTTTCTTCCTTGTCATGTGTTTTGTTTTTTTTTTTTCTCAAAGAATTCCACTTCATCCCAGTCATTGTGTACACTGAGCAGAGGGAGAACATTAACAATAAATGTTGGCTGAAATGGACTAAGGCAAGGGGAGGAAATACTTCCTATAGTTGTCCCACAGTTGGAGAAAGTAAAAGAATTGCTCTCCTCCAAGGACTGATTAGTACCAAATGTTCAAAAAAAGGCAAAAAGAAAAACAACATCTTAATTAAACATAATTCATGTGGTGACACTGTGAAAGGGCAATATTGTTTCTTGGGAGAAATTCTATATTGTGATGAGGGCTTCAGTGGTCCTAAGGATAAGCCATACCTTAGGCCACCTACGGCAGGCACATTTGCTTGGTGTGTTTTACAGGCCCCGGTCAGCATTAGAACTCTCCCACACTCACTTTAGTGCCAGAAGAGCATGTGGTTAGACTGTCTGGCCAAGAGGATGGGTTTGAGATCATGGTGTAGGAACCGTGCCATCCTTGAGATCTGAGTCCAGGGACTTGGCTGCTTTTGTAACACCCTGCTAATGACAGAGAAGGACATTAGGTTAGGCACACAAGACGTTGAATCTGTACACATAAACATGGGTAACAGAGCATTCTTTTAAAAAAGCTTTCCACTGTGGTGTGTTTAAAAGTCTGACATTAATCAGCTCAACATTTTGCCAGAAGTAGAGTGTATTGGTCTTTTATACAGTGTGGGCCTTCTGGGAAAGGGGATAACAGGATAGGAGGTGCTTTTTATTTATTATTTATTTTAAAAAATTATTTATTTATTTATTTGACAGAGGGAGAGAGATCACAAGTAGACAGACAGGCAGGTGGGGGGCAGGGAGTGGGCGGGAAGCAGGCTCCCCGCTGAGGTGAGAGGCCAATGTGGGGCTGGATCCCAGGACCCTGAGATCATGACCTGGGCCGAAGGCAGAGGCTCAACCCACCAAGCCACCCAGGCGCCCCGGAGGTGCTTTTTAGCAGTGAGCATCTTTTTGTCTGTCGACCATTTATCTTGCTATTTCTGCAGAAAATGCAAATCAACTGAATCACAATAATATATATTTTTATATATTTTTTTACCATGGCTGCTGAAATATCCTAAAATTTAAAGGAAGAAATTTGGAACGCAGGTATGATTAGAAAGGATAGGAAACGAAGGATTGGAGAGAGCAGCTATTGTCTCGATCCTATTAGTTTTAGAGGCAGGAAAAAGATAAGCCTTCCCCACCCTGACCCCCAATCACTAATCAGAGCCATTTTAGGGACACTAATGGCTCTTTAAAATCTGAAACATATAGGGGCGCCTGGGTGGCTCAGTGGGTTAAAGCCTCTGCCTTCGCTCAGGTCATGATCCCAGGGTCTTGGGATTGAGCCCCGCCTGGAGCCCTGCATGGGGCTCTCAGCTCAGTGGGGAGCCTGCTTCCTCCTCTCCTTGGCTTCCTCTCTGCCTACTTGTGATCTCTGTCTGTCAAAAAAAAAAAAAAAAAAAAAAACTTAAAATCTGAAACATATAAAGGCAAATTTCAATTTGCAAGCCCTTACAATAAAATTTGTTTTGTTCAATCTATCAAGTCAAACACTCACATGCTAAATTTCCTTCTTCTAGTCCTTGTTTATGGCTAACAGATTTAATGCTTCTAGCATTTTTTTCCTCAAATAGAGACTCAACATAATTTGCTTAGTATGTTAACAAATTTAAAAAAAAAAAGGATTTTGTTAGGAGTCACAAAATTAAATATTACATTTTACTTTTGTTCTTTGAATTTTCAGAAGGGTTTTACTCCCCTACATGTAGCAGCGAAGTATGGAAGCCTGGATGTGGCAAAACTTCTCTTGCAACGCAGAGCTGCCGCAGATTCTGCAGGGAAGGTAAAGGATTTTACTAGTACGTGACAGTTACACTTACATTGGAAGATTCGGAGATCTGTACTTCAAGATACTTTTCTCACTCTTCTGAAAGGACAATGAAGGCAACCGATGAAACAATGTCAAATAGACACGAGGGGGTATCTGTCTGTGACCTGTCCACATCCACGCTAATTTAGAAGGCATTTAGATGTGTGTCTCCGATGTATGTTCTTGTCACAACAGGGCCCAGAACATCTCTGAATTTAGAAGAATCCTTGCAATGTTAATGTAGTAATTCTTGCATAGCATTTCAGACTTTTTTTATGGGGGATATCCAGCTAACCTGTGCCAACTTACACTCCACCAAACATTTTCAGTTTTAGCTAAGTTTCTAATATGAAAATCATTAGTATTGATTTGATTTTTTTATTGACCATATTAATTAATTAACATGGACTTCATCTGTGCCAGTTTCCATGCATTTGGTAGCTTCAGGGCAGCTCACGCTAATTTATTAATGCTGAATTTAAACACACCCTTTACAGAATGGCCTTACCCCGCTCCATGTTGCTGCTCATTATGACAACCAGAAGGTGGCACTGCTGTTACTGGAGAAGGGTGCTTCCCCTCATGCCACAGCCAAGGTGAGGACCGCAGAGAGGGATTTACAGAGATAGGGTGGAACTGTAATCTGACTGCACATGAGAACTGTTTTTTGTTTTTGGTTTTGTTTTGTTTTGTTTTTAATTCCAATATAGTTAACGTACAGTTTTATATTCTTTTCAGGTATACAATATAGTGATTCAACACTTCCATACATTACCCATGGCTGGTCATGACAAAGTGCCCTTCTAATCCCCATACCTTTTTCAACCACCCTACCCCCACCCCCACTCGCCACCCTCCCACCCCTTCCATTACCATCAGCTTGTTCTCTATAGTTAAGAGTTTGTTTCTTTGTCTCTCTCTCTCTCTTTTCTGTTGCTCGTTTGTTTTATTTCTTAAATTCCACATATGAGTGAAGTCGTAGGGCATTTGTCTTTCTCTGACTGACTGATTCCACTTAGCGTTATACTCTCTAGCTCCTTCCAGGTCCTTGCAGGGAATTGCTCTTTAAACACGCGGTATTGTATAACTGCAAATACTCCTAGTGATAGTAGCTTTTGGTATTGACTATTTTTTAAAAATTTCTACTGATTACTTCCACAAAGCCTTTGAAGATTTTTTTAAAAGTCAGCATAGATCAAGGGGATATGCCTATGAACAAGTAGAGATGACTCTTATTGCCAAGACTCAGTGTCTTAGAGACTAAAGTTTTGAATTTTGAGAAATGAAGCATAGTAAAGTCAGTATAGGTTTTCTCTTTTCCCCTATAACCAGAATATTATGCTATAACATAGCTTTTTTTTTTTTTTTGCTTATTCCTTTAGACTGCAGTTTTTTTCATTGTGATATATGAAAGAATCTTTGTTTCTTTTTCTCTAACATTTCATCCATGTTAACTATAATATATATCCTTTTAAGTTCCTAGGCTAGGAATTCCTTCTTGATGTCTCTGTACCACCAGTTTCTGAGACAGTGCTGACTAAGACTTGTACTTATGGACAGGGCATTTCTCACCATTTGAGTTGCCCCTTCGTTACGCTGAAAATATACATGAATCTCATATAATACACAAAGTAATTATTATATCTTTCATTAATTCACTCAGCAAACATATATTGAAAACATACCAGGGTTTACTGAAAAAGTACTGTGTTGGGAAAATACTCATGCTGTGTTCGGTAGCATAATAAAACAGCACAACTACCATTTCTTTGCCAAATACTCTGTCTACCACTTTGCATGCAATATCTCACTTAATCTCATGATAATGCTGTGAGATTGGTATCATAATAATTTCTGTTTTGTGGATAAAGAAGAGAGATTTGAGTAGGTTAATTTGTTTATCCAAACTCATATGACTGATACCTGATAGAGCTAAGATATGACCTCAAGCAGTTTGACTTTAGAACCATTACTCTTTTTTTTTTTAAGTTGGGGTTCGAACTCACAACCCTGAGATCAAGAGTTACATGTTCTTTTGACTGACTCAGCCAGGTGCCCCTAGAACCAGCATTCTTAACCATTAGGTTCACTGTGTCCCAAAGTAGTGGAGAGAGAATTATTCTACTTCGATTATATAAGTATGTATATATGTACTCACATGTCTATTTAAATTATACATATACACATATAATAAAATGGGATATTCTATATAAACAGTATATTCTGTATAATACCACGTATTTTGTATATAAGTATATATAAAATATTATAAATATGCATAACTTATACCCACATATACATCTACATACATACATTTATACATATACGTATCCATGCATATTTTATTGGTACAGATATACACTAACAATAAAATATTTAAACTATCAAAAGAGGAGTGCAAATATTTATAATTATGCATATCATTCTTATTCCTTTATACCCTTCTCTCAGTAGGCTCATCAGTTATCATTTATTTGATGTCTTTCTTCCTACTAGGTGATAAACTACTTGAGGACAGTAATCATGTCATATTCATCTACATATCCCTGAATTATCTCATACAGTATTACGGATTCTCAATAAATTTAAGTGAAAGAATGAAGACCAGGCAACTATTTCAATGGAATAAAAATACCTACTCCCTTAACATGCCAGTACTTTTTTCATTAACTCTCTAAGCTGGCCATTGTCAGCATCAATACGAAAGATTTCATCAATACCCAACAACACTTTATTTGAATTCTTACTACATACAAAGAAAGGATTGTAGTAAAACTTTGTTCTCCTTCCACAAGGGATTTTCAATCTACTTGGGAGAGAAGTCCTAAATTATAAAGTAATCTGTGTGGTTTTCCCAAAAAGACAAATATAGCCCTGATCTCTAGCCTGTACAGTGTATGGTCCTTACTCTTATGTACACACATAGAGTCCACAAGACCAGGTAGAGCAATTCTCTCCTCCAGCGTCCATAGTACAGTGGTGCTCAGGAGGCTCTTCTAGTATCTTCCACTCATCTGCCCCAGCCTGTTGATGAGCATGAGTCCTTCGGTTCTGGGGCCACTCCAAGAGGCTTTCAGTTGGTTGTAAACCCACCCCCATCTCCACTTTTTTTTTTTTTAAAGATTTTATTTATTTATTTGACAGAGATCACAAGTAGGCAGAGAGCAGGCATAGAGAGAGAAGGAAGCAGGCTCCCCGCTGAGTGGAGAGCCCGATGCGGGGCTCGATCCCAGGACCCTGGGATCATGATCTGAGCCGAAGGCAGAGGCCCAACGCACTGAGCCACCCAGGCGCCCCCCATCTCCACTTTTTAAAAAAAAGATTTTAGTTAGTTATTTGAGATAGATAGCAAGAGAGAGCAAGCACACAAGCAGGGAGCAGGTGCAGAAGGAGAAGGAGAAGCAGACTCCCCACTGAGCAGGGAGCCCAATATGGGGGCTAGATCCCAGAACCCCAGGATCATGATCGGAGCCAAAGGTAGATGCTTAACCGACTGAGCCATCAGGCGCCCCTCCCAACCCCCATCTCCACTTTCAACTCTCTATTCACTGCAACTGCTGCCCCAGCCACAGATAAAATCCCTTGGACTCTAGAACCTATTTGCTTCTTTCTACCAGAGCCCAGAAGCTTTTCTTAGTTTTCATTGGATTTTTTGTTTATTTGGTTCTAAAAACTTGTACTCTGTGTGGAGTAGGAGGGCTGTAGATCTCATAGATCAAGTATCTGCTGGGCAGTCAGTCTCTTATATTGCCAAAATGGACACACTTTTTAATGATCTCTTATGTTGTTTTGATAAAACCTCCTGTCCTCCTCCACGTAAGTCTCTGACTTTCTAACCTTGGTAGATTTACTCTGATAATTCACCTAACTTTGGTAGAGCCCACATGTAGGAATGGGGGACATTTGGACTGATGAAAACACACTGTAGCAGAAAAACAAAAAAAACAAAAACAAAAACAAAAACCCAAATGCTAAACTTACAGGGTCCACAAAAATTTACATATTCTTTAATAGAGCCCATGGTCCAAGTGTAGTGTTTTAGAACATCTGGAGCATCTGGGACCTATGACCAGACCATGAATAGTCTTCCAAGGAGAGCTGCCAAATTTCCTTAGCACCTTTAAGAGAAATATCATTTATCTGAACTGAAAGATGCTTATTTTTGCTTGGAGGAATGGGGGCAGAGTAGATAGATAAGACTAGATCATTGAGGATCAAGATTTGATGATGGCGTATAAAGACATTTAAATTCTCAAAACTCCTTTTAATTTTTGGTATCCTTTGCAGTTAGATTTCAGGAAATAACATAACCTAAAATTACCTCTTATGATAGATTCACAAGAAGCAATCGATCATTATGCCGACTTTACCTTCATTATATCACAGTTCGTGGCAAGGCCACTGTTTTTAATTTCTATTACACGTTTTTCATGAAAAATTCTACCAGACTTGAAAAAGGAAAGGAAAGGAAACAAGATAGCTTCCAGACTAACATTTGTTCTAGAGGTCTATTTGCTTGTTATTTGTTTTAACTAAGTATAGGGTTTAAAGTTTGGCTCTTGTAAGCCGAGTATGAATTCCTCTGGTCCTCTCCACAAACTGCCACATAAAACCAGTAGCCTCATATTTCTACTTTTGAGCCTATAGAGACAAGTGGAAGATCTAGGATTTTGATTGATAGGATTTTGATTGGATTGATTGATAGGATTAATATAAGCCAATTTTGTTGCTTACTTTAATTTTCCACCAGAATGCAACCACTTAAAGACAGGGATTGTGTCTTACCCACCTTGGTATCCCCATACCTAGAACACTGCCTGGTACATGCTCCCAACTTACTAAATAGCTATCAAATTAATAAAAAGTACAATATGCACAGACGCATAATAGCAGGAGTGTTATAACAAGATCACAGAAAGAATTCCATTTTATTCTATACTACTAAAGCTGTATCTGAAGTATAGCATTCAGTCCTAGTCACACAATTCGAGAGCACTATTGACAAATGAGAATCAGTCTAGAACAGGTCATCCTTAATGGAGAGGTCTAGTAGCAATGGGGCTTTATCAGGAATAGTTGAAGGACTGGGGAAGTTTAACCTGGAAAAGAAGACTAAAAGGAGATATGAAAACCAGCTCCAGGAATTTGAAGGACAGTCATGTAGGACAGGAGCCTGGCTTGTTCTTTTGTTGCTCTGCAGGAAAGAACCAAAATTGTAAGAAGGAGATGTTAAGCTTTGGGGCTTTTGTGTCTATACATGTCTTACAGTAGAATGTGTGTCTTGTGATATTGGTTGTAAAGATTTGGGTGTTGTGGGATGGGAGCTTGTAATGGGAAAGAATTTGGATTTACTATAAACTTACTTTTTAACTTTTCTATTGATTAGAGATTCTTATTTCCATTGGAGATATATAGTAGGACAGGTGTTAAGCTTATGATGTATATTTGTGGTTTTGGGGTTTTTTTTTCCCTAGAATGGCTATACTCCTTTACATATTGCTGCCAAGAAGAATCAGATGCAGATAGCTTCCACACTCCTGAACTATGGAGCAGAGACTAACATTGTAACAAAACAAGGAGTAACCCCACTCCACCTGGCCTCACAGGAGGGGCACACGGATATGGTCACGTTACTTCTGGATAAGGGAGCCAATATCCACATGTCAACCAAGGTACTGTTTTTGCCTTTCATTTTAGCCAAGAATCTTTCAGATGAATATAAACAGAAACCAATCAAAGACAACTTGGAGCAAAAAGAAGGGATGTATTAGAAGGAAACAGAGATTACTTATGGAATTCAAGGACAGTAACAGTTGAGGCTTATGAGGAAAAAAAAATCACACAGAAGCAAGAAGCAGACTCAGCCTATCTGGTGGCATTTTTGAATCTTGACTTTTTCCTTGCAAGTCAGTTTCATTTACCTCTCTCTGCAGATCTACTTTCTCTGTTTCTCTGTGTGTGTGTGACCAAAGAGGTGACCCTGTAGCTCCCAAGAGTTAATATCACTGTAGTTTAAGCAGTCAGTCCAGATTTGCCATGGTACCTGCTGGTCTTAATTCCAAATTTTAGACAGAGGAAGGGAAAGTGAGAGAGAGATACAGAGAGAGAGAGAGAGGTAACAGTTCATCTGGTCTCTGGCCCAAACAACTGATTCTAAGCTGTTGGTCCGTGGCCACTACCCAAGCATTCTCTAGCTGGGCTGAGCATCAGAGGCACCTGGGGGGCAGGGGAAGGGAGCATGAAGGAAACTCAGTAAAATAAAGATTTCTGAGCCAACTTTAGCTTAGTTTGGGTGGTTATGGTGGCGGTGGCCAGAGAATCAGTGTTTTTAATAAAGAACCTCAGTCATTTCAGTCTTTATGGGCAGGCATTTGAACTATAATAGAGTCAGAGTCAGGAATATAAGGGGAAAAGACATTATTCAAATATGGAAATATTTGGATTTTTTACGAGTATATGTCTGTCTATACATCTCTGTCTTTCTCTACATATGTATCTGTAGCTCTGCCTACCTACCTATCTATTTAATGTGTATCTGTCTTATACTTACATATACTCCACTGGAGTCAGCTTCTGAGAAACTAAAATTGAAGCCTATATTTTTAAGTTAGCTCATCATTTTCATCTCTTAATACTTTTTATAACACGAGGTATGGGTTTAGTGAAACTTAGGTTTATTAGGGTTTTCCACAAATACACAGTACTGTGTTTTCTACATTTCACTGTTGAGCTAATTAGTGCTTTTGGAAACTCAGTTGTAAATTGGTCTTCATAATGTTATCAATAGGTTATATAGCATTATTTCCTTTAGAAATAGTTATGAAAAAGGTTGTCTTGAATGCCTCTAGAGTCCTATTCTGTGTCTTTATCACTCAAAAATATTCCAGTAAATCCCTTGCCATTATATACTTCTTTGTTCTCTATCAAAAGTCCTCACAGATCCTTTTTTTTAAAGCGTAGTGAGAGCTAATTAAAAAGTTATTCCCCAAAAGATATCTGCATTTTAACAGAAATGAACATCCTGAAGCCTTGTGGTGAAATTCAGTGTCTCAGCTGTTATGAAAGTCTGGGGCATGGATTTTTCTTGTGGGCATTGAAATCACGCCATTCAGAAGACATTTCCCCTATTGGGGATATTCTCACTATGAGACCAATTGTAGAATACTTCACTTAGCATCAGTATATGAAAGGGACAGACAATGTTTATTGTCCATTAAAAACAAATCTTCATTTGAAAATAAACACCAGATATCCATAAACAAATCAAGGAAGATTTTGAGTAGAATGAAGTTCTAGATATTTCATGAAACTGATCATGCGATGCTTCTGGTAGTGCTGTTTTTAATTCATTTTAAGAAGTGCTATTTTTAATATATATTCATATCTGGAATCATTTAACTATGTCCTCCCTGATGGTATTCTTCTAAACATACTACTTCCTTTGAGAGGGTTTTAGCAGTCAATCAGCAAATATTTAATGAATATTTTTGACTTATGTACTCCTCAGTGAAGAAATATATTCAATTGTGGACCACAAAGTAATTATGTTATCTTTATAACAATGATTTCAATATTAGATTTGGGGTGCTGTCCTAAAAAGAGGTGTGATGTATTTGTCACTAGAGTAAATCACGATGTAATAATAAAAACCAGTTATAGAGTCCTCTAGTGCATCTTAGGAAATAAATTCCTTCTTTTGAAAAGAACTCCTTCAACAACTTCTATTTTCTTGATTAGAAAAGTGTTCATAATTTGCTTTAGGTATGGAAATTTACCATAAATTGTAGAGAATTTTCATATTGGCTGTTAATCTGTAATCTTATATTGTAGAAAACAGCACATATATTTGACATGCCATTAAAAATGTCTTTGAGATATTTGATGATCATGTCCTTTAATAAGCACTTCAATAACATTTTTAAAAGACCAGTTGTCTCCATAAAGAGAAATATTTTAATGTTTACTATTTTCATATGGAGAAAATCAGAACGAGGAAGAATCTTCTGTTTTGCCCCAATATTCATATTGTTTATACTTTAGGGCTAGATAGTATTTGTTTAGAAGTGAGGACATTTTAATATAGAAGGGCATATCTTCAATCTTATTCTGATGGTTTATGAAACTCAAAGCTGAGCTCAGCCGGAACTGTAAGAATTAAAAAGCCCCAAGCCCTCAAACAAACAAACAAACAAACACAGCCTTCTCTCAAGTTGGAGAATGTTTTTCCCTCTGTACATATCACTTATGTTTTGTTTTTTTTTTAAAGATTTTATTTATTTATTTGACAGAGAGAGATCACAAGCAGGCAGAGAGGCAGGTAGAGAGAGAGGAGGAAGCAGGCTCCCTGCTGAGCACAGAGCCCAATGCGGGGCTCGATCCCAGGACCCTGAGATCATGACCTGAGCCGAAGGCAGCGGCTTAACCCACTGAGCCACCCAGGCGCCCCTCACTTATGTTTTTTAAAGATCAGAGGACTTGTCCATTTCTAGGAGTACATCCTGGCTAGAGATCATGGATTTTGAAGAACCTGGCTGACTGTGGAAAGGCAGATCTGCGAAGCCACAGTCAGGGGGTCTGGGAGAATCTAATTAGACATGAATTGGGAGAGCAGGGGAAGGGAGAGTTGCCAGCTCAGAGCATAAGTGAGCTAACTCAGTGTCCAGCGGCAGGAATAATGAATATACTAGGTATTTGAGCAGTAGCAGAGGAAGAGAAAATAGGGTATGAATATACTGTTAGCTAGGATATAGGGCAGAAACATTTGTTCACTGATATATTCAAATATGTAGAATATTTCCTGGCATATGAAAGGTACTCAGAAAACACCTGTTAAAAACACAAATGATTTAGGTTTTAAAGATTCTCTCTCAATTTCAGTTTTGTGTGCTGGAAGTTAAGTGCACACGTAGTGAGGCTGCTAGATTGTGGCACTGACTGGAGAAAACACTCTTTCCCTCTCCTTCCTCCATGCTTCCATCTTGTATTAGTTCTTAACTGTATTTGAATTGCATATAAAATTAATCAGGATATTTACTGGATGTATAAATGCCAAACATTATACATAAAACTGGCCAGTTTATGGTGCTATCTATAAATGATGGGGTTACTTTTTATTTAGCAGTTAGAGGAACCTCCGAAATAGTATACTATTGAGTACTGGAGAAAACTGTTCTGAACTCATTTCCTATAACTCTCTACATTTTTTTACCTTGATATGATATTTTATTGATGAAAATATAGAATCCATCAATCCTCTATGATTAAAAAGTAGAAGCAGTAGCTGGTTGATTAATTATTTAAGGGAATAAATAGATTCAGCAGGAGGCACAGATGGATTTGAAATGAATGTTGTTTGGAAGTTTATTAGCTGAGTTATTTTAAAGTGTCACATCATAATAGAAGCACCTAAATAAAGAAAATGTAATTTGTTGAAAGTATTGACTAACTTAGAGAATATGTCTCAGAAAGTCATATTAACTTGGAGGGTTTGTTTTAGAGATCAAAAGTTGCAGGTTCTAGGGAGAGGCTATGAATTTTCCAGGATTTTTTTTAAGACACGATATCATAGATGATGAAACATACTTTCTTCTTCAAGTGTACCCATTTGCTTCCATTCTCTCTATAGAGTGGACTCACGTCTTTACACCTTGCAGCCCAGGAAGACAAAGTGAATGTTGCTGAAATTCTTACTAAGCATGGGGCTGACCAGGATGCTCACACGAAGGTAAAGTGAATCGCTTTCCATATTGTGGTGGGTTCTGACTTGGATGACTCCCAGTAGCCCCCACTCAGATTTCCCCCAGTTCAAGCATCCTTCCTCAAAAGTCCGTTCTGAATTATGTGAATTTACTCACAAATCTATAATGGCTCTCCATTTTTGCTGGAATCAAGTCCAAGTGGAGATCATGATATCAGGACCCTTTATAAAAAGATTCTAATTTTGCTGGCTTAAGTCAGCCTCTCTCCCTTATTGCTCTGGCAATCTGGATGACTTGCTCTTTTCCTCCTGTATTTGCTTGCCTCCAGCCCTTGGTCTTGAAAATGGCTTTTCCTTCTCTATGCCATTAAAATTTTCAAGCCCACTTTAAGCTATACTTTTGTGCATTTCCTCCACAACCTCCCATCAGACTCAGTTTTTCTTCTCTATTTTCAGATGCAATTATTCGTGTCTCTCTTTTAGCTCTTTGTCAGATGAAGTCACACACGTGTCTGATTTCCTTTGCTGGTGTTAAGTTCCTTATGCTCAGGATCTGCTTCTCTCCATATTTGTATCCACAGGAAGTGTAAATATTTATACAATATTTACATCAGTAATATTTATACAATGGAATAGACTTTTTACCCTTCCCACCATTACTGAGAATCTACCTAATCCCTCTCCCTTTGAGTATTAACCACTAGAGTATGTATGCATTTATTTATTGATCTATTTATGTATTTGTTATAGCTTGGTTACACTCCTTTAATTGTGGCCTGTCACTATGGAAATGTGAAAATGGTCAACTTTCTTCTGAAGCAGGGTGCAAATGTCAATGCAAAAACGAAGGTAAATAAAATACTTATACTCATTTTCATTTTTCTATAAGCAAAGAGGTTCAGCCATATGAATACTTCACTAGCTCACCATAGCTTCAAGTGTACTTTTTCCCTTTTAGTTCTTTTAAAGGGACTTTGAATAAGCTATATAGCTTTGTACAGTTGTTTGCGACTTTTCATTCTCCGAACCTTTGTCAGCCATGTAGGTTAGCTTCAGAACTACTTTTGTTATAGAGCTGAAGTAGCACTTATCCAGTTAACAGTTTACTACAGTAAAAAAAGAAGCCTGCTGGGTAGAACATTTTGATGTTCTAGAAAATTCTTTATGTTATTTTAAGGCCTTGGTCCCCCTTCCTGAAACATCCTCCTTCTGCATGAGGAAAGGAGATAGACAGCCTAGATTGTGTCTTTCATTTAGAAAAAGATTTTGTATATTTATTAGAGAGAGAGAGAGCAAGAGAGCATGTTAGTGTGGGAAGGGGCAGAGGGAGAGAGAGAATCTCAAGCAGACTGCCCGATGAGTGTGGACCACAACCTGGAGCTCAATCCCAGGACCCCGAGATCATGAGTCTGGCACTCAACTGACTGAGCCACCCAGGCATCCCTCATTTTTAAAATTTTTAAACTAATATTCATTAAGTGCATGCTAGAAGTCACATATACATTATATATGACTTTTTATATATTAATTCATTTAATCCTTAAATAACCTCATAGGTGCTATTAGCATCTCTATTTTACATAGTGAATTTGAATAACTTATCTAAGGTCACAAAGTATTAGTTGGAAGAATTGGAATTCCAACTGAGACAACTTGCCTCACGGCCAAAGCTCTGTTCTAACTTCCATCCCACTCCAGATCATTAACGTCAACTCACTATACCTAAAATCTTATCAGTGGTCATTCACTCTCCTACCTGGCATTTATTCCATGCTATCAAATCCTGTTGCTTCCTTCTCCCGAGGAGTTCTCTGATCTGGTCATCCCTTTCCATGATTTTAAGCCTCTATAATGTGACCCAATGTAGTGTAGGTTGCCAGATGACCATTTCATAACTTCCCTACAACTAAACTAGGTGCTTCACTTTCTCCCAACTAAATATTTTCCTGTTTTACCCAGTCTTTTCCTCTCCTAAGATGCTCTCCTATTTAAATCTTATCTATCCTTAAACTACAACCTTTATAATGCTTTCTCACACTACTTGAACATTTTGATTACTACATCCTATGAATAACAATAGTGCTTCCTTTTTTTTTTTTTAAGATTTTATTTGTTTATTTGACAGAGAGAGAGATCACAAGTAGGCAGGGAGGCAGGCAGAGAAAGGAGGAAGCAGGTTCTCCGCTGAGCAGAGAGCCTGATGCGGGTCTCGAACACAGGACCCTGAGATCATGACCCGAGCCAAAGGCAGAGGCTTAACCCACTGAGACACCCAGGCGTCCCAAGTGTTTCCTTTTTTTAAATGCTCATGTAAAACATATTTTTATTATTAGTACATACTTTTAAATCTCTTTGTGTTTTTATCGGTGATGCATTATAAAAGATGTGGTATGTGGTTTTTAAAAAATTGAGGTCACCTCCTCTTGACCCCTGAGGGAAGGATCCCTCCCTCTAAATATAGAGGAGATAGCTGAGAACAGGACACCCAATATCATTTAACATTTAAATCTGTTTTCTTTCACTTAAAAAAGGCTTTTTTTTTTTTTTTTTTTAACAGAGAGAGAGATCACAAGTAGGCAGAGAGGCAGGCATAGAGAGAGGAGAAAGCAGGCCCCCCGTCGAGCAGAGAGCCCGATGCGGGCCTCGATCCCAGGACCCCGAGACCATGACCCAAGCCGAAGGCAGAGGCTCAACCCACTGAGCCACCCAGGCGCCCCTAAAAAAGGCTTTTTAACTTGTGATACCTTTCACTTATTTTTCCCAAGTCCCCATCCCTGCCTCTAGCAACCACCAATCTGTTCTCTGTATCTATGAGTTGGATTTTGTTTTGTTTTGTTTAGATTCCACACATAAGTGAGATCATGCAGTATTGTGTCTTTCTCTAACTTATCTCACTTAGCATGATGCCCTCCAGGTCCATGCATGTTGTCCCAAATGGCAAAATTTCATTTCTTTTTATGGCTGAATCATATTACATTGTGTGTGTGTGCACGCGCAATTTTATTTATTTCTTTATTCATTCATCCACTGATGGATACTTAGGTTGCAGCATATCTTGGCTATAATAAATGATGCTGCAAGGAATATGGGAGTGCATACAGCTTTTTAAGTAAGTGTTTTTGTTTTCTTACACAGAAGAGGGATTGCTAGACCATATGGTAATTCTATTTTTCATTTTTTGAGGCACCTCCATACTGTTTTCCACAGTGGCTGCCCTAGCTTACATCCCCATCATTCCCACCAACTCTGTTACATTTGGGATATCACATGGAAATGCTTAGTGAGGCAATGATGTGTAAGGTCTGGGCTGGAAGTTGTTAAGGATAACACAGAGCTGACTTGATCGCAAATGTTTTTACCCAGTGGCAGCTGAAGGGCCCTATCTAGTAAAGCAAGGTTGGAACATAACACCAGACTTCAGTGCAATCAAGTTGTTTCAAGGGAAAGAGAAAAGAATAATACAACTGCGGCTAGTATGTATAAAATAAATTGCAGCTCCAGGTTCCTTGGTCCAGAGAAATATGTAATCACATGTTTGCTTATTTTTTTAAGTTTTTGTATCAGAAATTCTTTTTTTAAAAATATTTTATTTATTTGACAGAGAGAGATCACAAGTAGGCAGAGAGGCAGGCAGAGAGAGAGGGGGAAGCAGGCTCCCCACTGAGCAGAGAGCCTGACGCGAGGCTCAATCCCAGGACCCTGAGATCATGACCTGAGCCGAAGGCAGAGGTTTAACCCACTGAGCCACCCAGGCGCCCCCAGAAATTCTTAATGCAGCTCTGTGAGTGGGCTCAACTAAATTAGTCTGAGTTTTCAGTCATCATTCAAAATGCTAATGATTAGAAAAGTAAGAAGTTTTGGAAGTCAGTCTTTTTATATTCTCTTAGAAGCAGAAACAAAATTGTATCTGTACATCGCCATATTTACAGGTGAATTAAAGATAGTTACTTTTTAAATTATAAACACTACTATTGACCTTCAAGATTCAAAATTTCATCTGACTCTAGCAAGAGCAGCTGCTGCCTAGTTTCTGAGCAATTCTTGAGTTCTCATGACATTGTACTTTGAGCTTATTTAAAAGCTCTAATAAGCCTCTCTCTCTCTCTTCTCTCTCTCTCTCTCTCCGCCTGCCTCTCTGCCTACTTGTGATCTCTGTCAAATTAATAAAATCTTAAAAAAAAAATAAATAAAAGCTCTAATAAGAATTCTCAGGCATCAGCACCTAACACCATTTTTTTCCTGAGTCAGATCACACATAAGCACACAGGAAAGACATTCCTGCTGGGATCCAGATTTTCTCCTGAAAGGAATAAATGCAACTATGCAATGAGACTTTGGAGGAACTTGAAAAGTTACCATATTTTTTTGTTAACTGTGTGATTGTTGAGGTAATATTTACAAGCCAGACATATTGTCTAGAGAACATCATTTATCTACCTGGGGTTTGGTATGCATTCGAATAGACATTTGGTTGAGAGAAAAATCTCATTTTAATTTTTCAGGTTTTATTTTATTTATTTATTATTTTTTTTTTTTAGTGAACTCTGTAGATTTTACTTGCTTTTAGAAGTAAATATAACTTTTAATATGTCTTCAGGGAGTGCATAGCTACATAAATGGAAAGATGTTCTTTTAATAAACATCTCGGGATTTTTTTCACACAGAATGGCATTTTTGGAAAATGATTTGTGTTTTCTGCCTCACATCTCATTTAACTATGGTTTTAAAAATTTGTTTTGTTGCTATAAAAATGTAAACATATGTATTGCCTTTAGTCCTCAAACATTCATGATCTGGTATAATAATCTGGAAAAGTGAACTTGTTTTATGAGACTATTAGTTGTTAAAAATGAAAATGAAATCCTACAAACATCCACTTGAGGAAAACTAGATTTGGTTGATTATATGATTAATTTGCAAAGAGTGCATAGAATGTTAGCACGTACAAGAAAATTTTCTTTATGAAATATGCTGTAAAGATCATAGAACTCTTCAGTGAGAAAGAAAAAAAGTGAAATGTTTGTCAGCATTTTCATGGAACTTTAGATCAGTTAAAGAAAAGTTTATGGGGGCACCTGGGTGGCTCTGTGGGTTAAAGCCTCTGCTTTCAGCTCAGGTCATAATTCCAAGATCCTGGGATCGAGCCCCGCATCGGGCTCTCTACTCAACAGGGAGTCTGCTTCTCCCTCTCTTTCTGTCTGCCTCTCTGCCTACTTGTGATCTCTGTCAAATAAATAAAAAATAAAAAATCTTAAAAAAAAGAAAAGTTTATGGGCAACATATATAATCCTTCACCAGATTTGAAATCTTGGCTATTCCCATTTGTTAATGAGGAAATGGAGGGTTAGAGGGGTTTGGTAGAACTGGGTCTAGATCTCCTAGCAGAATGGGCCCAAGACCGTAGATAAGATGTAATCAAATGTTTGCATAAAAGTTTTTGAGTTGCTCCAGACTTCCCTAGCAAATATACTTGTGCACCAGAGGTTTCGGGTAAAGGTTAAATTAAATCAGGCCTGGGAGACAGACACCTTTCTGGGCACTGTGTGTTGAGGACTCTGTAAATTGTGAGCTCTTAGGGGCAAGAATGCTACTCTAGCATTATTAATTTACATAAGCACAGTGTCTCCTACTTAGCACAAAGCATGTGGTTAGTAAATGCTTGCTGAATGAATTCACTTGGTTGCTACTGAAGAAGTGAACAAATTCGGTTAGAGAAGAAGAATTTTCAGGGAAAAAAAATGCCACTTACTTTATGCTTCTCAAATGTGCGTGGATTATCTCATTTGAGAGCAGAGACCCTGCAATAGCGATAAGTTTCTCAGGGTCCCTGTAATTGGCTTCTATTTCCAGGTTTCCTGGGGTGATGCCATTGGAGGGAGAGATAGCAGACATGGCAGAGCTGATGATGTTCCAGACTGAAGGACATGCAGACTGATAGACTCTCACAAATACAGGGACATCCCCGTGGATGGAAAGGCCACAGCAAAAGCATAGAAGGAGTCTCAGGGCACCTTGTGTTTATAGATGGACACTTTATGTAGGCAGGAGTAGCAAAAGTGCATGTTGGTCATGAGGCAGCAGTGACACTAGGTAAAAGGGACATATACTCCTACAAGTTTATGGTATGAATGGGCTACTCAGAACTTCAAACCCAGATAACAGAATTTTATCAGGGTGAGGCAGGTAGATAATACAAAAAGTAGTCTGATACCCATTGGCTATCAAGATCTACACAGGTTCTGAACCTAGAATAATTGCAAAGAAATTACTTAACTGTTATTTTCCATTTCATCTCTGAAATTGGAAGAAAACATTTATTCAATCATGTATTCATTCACTCAGTCACTCATGGTGGTGTATGAGACACCACCTATGTACCAAGCACCCTCATTTTTAGGATGACAATAAAGATTCAAAGACAACTACAAGGCCTGGCATCTGGCACAAAATAAATGTTCAGTGAGGGATATTAGTGTTTTGTTTGCCTCCAAGGATTCCAGTGCCTTTGTTTAATGAATGTGAATATGCAGCCAACCGGTTCCATACCTGCCACCCATTAGAATTCTGAGCAAGACTGTCGTCACACTAATCTCAGCAGCATTTCCTCACAAATCATGGATTACAGAGCTTTCATCTAAACTTTCAGTTTAGACCAGAGTGTTACAAAGAACTTTATTTTTAAAGTCATTTTTAATTGAGGGTGGGCCACTCATCATCCAATGAAATCTTCCATTCTCTAAGCATGGTCTTCTTTGACCACAGTTGCTCTCTGAAAGGAAGATAAGATTTAGATTTACCCCCATCAATTTAGAATCCCTAAAGCTGGCACAAAGATTCATTATTAGAAAAGTCATGACAGGGGCACCTGGGTCGCTCAGTGGGTTGAGCCCCTGCCTTTGGCTCAGGTCATGATCTCAGGGTCCTGGAATGGCCCGCATCAGGCTCTCTGCTGGGCAGGGAGCCTGCTTCCTCCCCTCCCCCCTGCCTGCCTCTCTGCCTACTTGTGATCTGTCAAATAAATAAATAAAATTAAAAAAAAAGAAAAGTCATGACAAACAAGCATTTTTTTGAATTTGTATTTATATTGTATTTGTATCAGAGTCCTCAGATTTCAGCTAAAAATGTTACTTTCTTTATCCCTAAGGAAGAATTCATTGTGATAACGTTCTTTTGTCATTATAAATCTCTCAGTATACCCATTTTAATGCCAATTAGTTAAAATATATTAATAGCTCTGATCTCCAGTTTGTCAGTCCTTCTATTTCATAAGCTAGTCTTTTCGCTTTGTTTAGCATACCATAAGGTGAGAAGGAGTGTTTGTTGCTGACACATGGGTTGGTGGGGATACGGAGCTCCAAATAAACAGCATTCTTGACGGTTTTGTTGTAAGACTAAGAAATTCAACATGAAGTCTAACCGAACTTTCCTTCTCCTGCTGCAAACCTATGCTGGGTCCATGGCCACCGTCACCTACAGAATGGCTACACGCCTCTGCACCAGGCCGCCCAGCAGGGCCACACGCACATCATCAACGTCCTGCTGCAGCACGGGGCCAAGCCCAACGCCACCACCGCGGTAAGCCAGGCGCCGCCGCCCAGCACCGCGCCGCCGCCGCTGCCTCCTCCTCGCCCGCCCTGGCGGCCCCTTGTCTGAGCTGGGTTCAGACACGCGCCTTCGATAAGGCCCCCGTACTCTGGAAAGCCCGGGAATTCTGGAAGGGCTTTCCAGAAATCAGCGTGACTCCGGCAGCGCTTCCTGGGGAGGGAGCGCAGTCGGCCTGACTCGGCCATCTCTCTCGGGAGAGTGGGGCCCTGCGCGGAGGCTGCTGGAACGTGCTCTGCTCGCAGCTGGTGCTCAGATGTGAACTCTAGGGCAGCCCCCCCCCCGCCCCTGCTCCCGCCCGGTCTTGTTAAGGGAGCCCGGCCTGCGAGGCTCCTGGCTCAGACAAAGCTCTTCGGGATGTGGAGCCATTGAAATGTAAACTAAGCGGTGCAATTAAACAAACCGGGGTCCCCAGTGGCCCGCGCTGGAGCGGGAGTTGCTCGCTTGTGTTATTTTGCTGCACGGCGAGCTTCTGCACAGCTGTAGCTAAATGTGTGACCAAGTTCCCTGGGGTGACGTCCTACCTGCAGCAGATGGCCTGACCTCTGACGAGGAGTAACGGTACTCGGTACTGGCTAATCATTTTCGGAGGCAGCGTCCTCAGTTCACGGGGTCCTTTCCTAAACACAGTGCAGTATCTTGTCGAGATGTTTGACAACCTCAGGGTTAAAGCGTCAAGTGCTTCTTATTAGAAGAGCAGGCAGATGCAGCTTGTTGTGTTACCATGGTGACCCGGGCCATAGTCTAAAGAAGTTACAAAGAGATTCAGATGTAATGGTAAAAACTAGTGATTTTCCTAAGCTGTGCCTGGTTTTGGAAGGAAATGCTGGCTCAGGCGGAGCAGCCGGTGAGCTCATTGGCTCACAGCGCGGTCCTCCCTCTCAGTTCTCCCTCTCTCTCTTTCATTGCACTCTCTTCAGAATGGCAACACCGCCTTGGCGATTGCTAAGCGTCTGGGCTACATCTCCGTGGTCGACACCCTGAAGGTTGTAACAGAGGAGGTCACCACCACCACCACGGTGAGTAGGAGCTCGTGGGCTTGGGTTCCACTGTCTTGGTTTTCAAGCCACATACTTTTGCGCTTACAAACTATGTGGAGCTTTTGGTTTGGAACTTTGGGTGAATATATGGTACACCATAGAGGAATGCAGATGTAAGTGCATTGACACAGCTAGTGGGGGGGGGTGGCTTCTTTTCCTTAACATAAATCCATGTAAAATATAAACATAATTGTATAATATTTAGTTCCTTTTTGGAATTTTGGAATTTTGGCCGGGGAGGGGGGCTGCCTTGCCCTTTCACTGTAGTTGGGTGTGACACCTACTTCTGGCTAAGTGGTAGGACACTCCAGAGCAAATCTTAGCCAGGTCAACCTCTGGAAAGACCCATATATATCCTCCTGATGCCATGCTAACGATTGGGCCTAGTGCATTCCCGTGAGAACGGTTCCTCCTTACTTCCTTCTTATTTCTGATTATCATATTTTTTAATTGAAAAAGGGAGTTGGTTGTACTTAGTAGGTCAGCTGTATCTGTATCATGACAGATACAGATTTATTTAAAATTTAAATAAAAAAATTTTATTTAAAATTTTATTTAAAATTTTTTATTTTCGCTAGTTGGGATATGACTGCTGATTATTTAGGAGGAGCAGGGATCATTGATGGCCTTGCGGGAGAATGAAGTCTCTGGGACTAATGAGTCTTAAGGCTGTTGTACCATTTAGTTGGAGCAAAACTGAAAGGAGACTGCCCCATAGGGGGGACTCACAGCTGAAAGAGGAAGTGCTGTTCTCTTTCGCACTTTTTATTAACTTTTTTTTTCTTAAGCATGAACTCTAAGAAACAACAGCTCTTTAATTTCTCTTTTTTAAAATAGAAAATTAGGGTGATGGTGGAGCATTAGATGTGTTCTTCAGAGACAATAAGATCACAAAAAAACATGAAAAGTCTGAATGGGTTCTAGTAAATGCCTTAAGTAAGAAAGGATATGTGTAGAGTTTTAGAACACTTGTTTCTTTGGATAGATACGTGGAAAAAGAAAGACATTTTATTCTTCAGACTGACACCAAGTTCCTGTTGACATTGAAGCAGATGGAATACAGTTGGTTTGATGTGAAATTTTTAATAGAGTGGAGTATGATTTATTAATGAACTGCGAGACATAGCGTGAATTTAGATGGGAGCGAATAGTACTGCTTGTTTTCTCAAGCGGAATCTTAAAACGTTTGGCTAATACACCACCATATTTTTTAAAGATTTAAGGCATGGCTTCAATAAATTATATGAGAGAAAAGTCTTGTCACTACCCATCACTATACTTCTGAGTTGCTATATATGGCTGAATCTTAATGGCCTTTTCTTACTATATGATTTTTTAATACCAGGAAAATCTTCCTGTTAGAGACCTATACATATGTGCCTTTATTTGGCATCTTTGAAACAATGTGCAAGTCACAGATAAGTGAAGCCTGTAGTGGCAAGAGTGGCCAAGTACATCTGTTCTTAGAAGTCATGTTTTCTGTAAACTTTATTAACTTTTCTGGTTATCATTTACATACATTTTTATCAAGTGACCACTAGATGGCAAGCTTGCATCTTTTTTGCTACTTGACCTGCTTTTCTTCCATTCATTTCATTTACTAATCATTCCTCCAATATTTATTGCATATAAAATATGCTCTGAGCTCTATGCTGTGTGGTGAAGAGTCATCAGTGGTAAAAACATTACCCCCCTTCCCCCAGCAGCTTGCAGTTTAGTGGGAGTGGAGAATGGGACTTACTTTTTGTAAGAAAATAAATTCTTCTTTAACATCAACAAAACTATGGAACTTACATGCTCGGTTTCAAAGATCCCAGGCTCATAAATATTACTTGGAGGGAATTACTTTAACTATATAGATCTATATTTGAAAAGAGAAACAATTAGCTTGCTAAATACTATGACTAAGCAAGTTCAGATACCTTTCAAAAATTAGACATAGAGTCATATCTCTGCCACATCTAGCTTTAATGGAATACAAAAACTACTTTTAGAACTCCCTGTGAGCTTTTCTTCTGTTCTGGTAACTATTATTCTCTACCCTGCCCAGCTGAGCATTTCCCCAATTAAAAACCTCTATATTCAGAAGTCAAGTTTCTAGATAAAAAGCCAACGAAGAAATATAAAACATAATGGCATGTTTGCTTTTAGTTGGGGTAAGAAGTCATTGCCCCTATTAACTAAACAAGTACCCACTTTGTCTAAATGGGTAATTGTATTGGTAACATGTTTTGATGCTGCCCTATTTTTACTTTCTGCCTCTTTTAGAATTGATTCTTAGAATTGTGAGTTTTATTGTTCTGTGAAATTGAGTTTCGGGTGAAGGATTGAAAATATGGACTTACTCCTGTCTCTTATGTGAGCCTTCTTACTTTGCACTTCCTCTCTTTGGGAAGAGATTTTAATTCATACTTTTTTTTTTCCATAACGATATTAGTGGTATTAAAAATGAGTATTTAGTGATTACAGATATGGCAGGCATTGAGGGTAGATCTAGGATTCAAATTTAGGTTGTGAGATTCTAAAGTCCGTGTTCTTAACCGCTCTGACTTTACTGATCTTGACTTTACTAAATGCAGCTTACATGTATTTTGTGAAAGAGGTGTTTTCACCTAGTTTTCTATTCAAAACAACCTATCTAAATAGTGCTTTTTGTTTATTTCCATGGAGGCAACATATTCAATATTACTTTCTAAAGTGAATTTGGAATTGCTCACTGGTGATGGACCAATAATAGTACACTAGACAATTTAATAATTATATAAAATTAATAAAATTGAATTTAGTTTGAATTGAATTTAAGTATAATAGTTAAATTACAGTTACACAACTAACATACAAATCTCACATCACTAGATTTACACCGTGTGCCTTTGAGCAGCCCTGTGAGTTCTCTTCCATCAAAGAAAGTTTCCTGTGCTAATCCTCCTTCCGAAGTTCTTTACCCCACAGTATGAATAAAGTCATTGTGTAGAGAGAGGAGGAAGGCAGCAGTCTGTAAAGGAGAAGCCACTGCTTCAGAAATTTTTGAGACATTTTGGAGTTGTGGTTTGTTTCCTTAACCTTTGCTTTTCTAACTTTACTTTGGGGAACCCAGCAGGGGCTGTGAGGTGGTTTAGCATTCTCCCAGGATCACATTCATTGCGCGTGTGCTGGAATGGGCATCAGAGCGCAGAGGACACATTTCCAGCAGCAGAAGCCACCAAACTCAATCGCCTGAGGCAGTTTGGAAGACCGAGATGGGGCTCCTCCCTCTGCTTATTGATCAACTGTCATTGAGTATTTGTATTATTTGCATAATTTTTAAATGATCATGCTTTAAGTTGCATATAATCACTGATATGTAGACCCAGAATTACTGAAATAAAAATAACATCATAAATTGCTGAATAAACTACTAAAATAAAAATGACATTATGGTTATATTACCATTTAAACAGTGGAGAAATTTGTGACAGTAAAGAAAATGTATATATTCAAAGTCCTAAATCTTATCTGATGCTGTAAATCAGTTAAAATGGGAATCCTAGAAATAGCAATGCAGTAAATACACATGAAGTCATTGGACACCTTTTGAGGTGGAGTTAAGATCTTTTCTTTGAGTATAGGTCTACTGACTAGAAGGAGGCTAAAAGATCATTCTCGCACAAAGAACTTCAGTCTTGCACACTATATCCTGTAATACATATATCTTGAGAGTATTCATCGTGTGTGTGTGTGTGTGTGTGTGTGTGTGTATTCTTTAAGATTTATGTATTATTTTTTAGAGAGTGTGCACCAGGGTGGGAAGGGAGAGAATCTCTAGTAGATTCTGCATTGAGTGCAGAGCCCATCACCAGGCTCGATCTTATGACCCTGAGATAAGGACCTGAGCCTAAATCAGGAGTCAGACACAACCGCTTGAGCCACCCAGGTGCCCCACATTCATCCTGTATATTATCTTAAAGTAACATTATACTGCAGGCAGAACCTTTTTAAACTTTTGACATACTATTTTTTTTTCTCGTCTGCTTTGTCTTAAGCACACCTTAATTGAGTACAAATTATTTTTGGTGACTGACCTTTGTTGAGGTTCCCAAACCATTTACATTGGTTTTTGTAGAAAAATGTTTACATACTATTTCAGTTATTACAGACATTCTATTAACATGTACCGTTGGTATAAATAGGTTTGTGAACAAAACCAAATTTAGCCTGTCACCCTACTGATGGGAGCCATTGTGTGTGGGCCTTAGTAGGTGGCATATTAGACACGATCCCTCACCACGATGTGGTGACTTGGTGAGTATGTGATACAAAGGAAATGGTTGACGAGGGGTGTGGGCTAAGGGGAGGCCGGTTAAGCACACTGTTGTGTAAAACAAACCAAATATCTATTTACAAAACAGCATGTAAAGGACTCATGTTTTATTTTTTACATCTTTCCCACATCGTGATAAATATTAAAACTCTTTATTAAGGATTCCATCTATCCTATCCTATTTATATTGCCGTATTATCTGATTTAATTACATACTATTAAATTTGTGCATAGTACACTACCCATTTTAACTTTAAATTGGTTTCTAATCTTGACTATAGACTCTTAGATTCTGTAGCAGACAGTTGCCCATGATCATTTAATTATATCTTTGTTTTCCATGTACTATTTAGATGCATTTGTGTAAAACCATATTTATATTTGATAATCAAGTTTTCAAAGTTCACTGCGTTTTAAAGAAAAGATGTATTTATTATAACATTACTCATGAGTAGGAAGACTTATTTATCATCTACTCAACAAATATTTATTGATGGCCTTCTAAAAGGTCAAGCACTACATCATGAACAGATGCATGCTATACTTACTACATTGCATAGAGAGGGCATTTGTACTATCTGTACAGAAAAATATCTGTGACCAGTGTGATCACTGTGTGTTACTTTTTCTGTTGCCACGAATATTTGCTGGTAATAACTTTGATAGTATTCAATGACCAAACTAGAGCAATGGTATTTCCACTCTTAGAAATTCCAGTCCACTCTTAGAGATTTGAAGAAAATATAGTCCTATTATCAGTGTCTGAAAATATAAATGAAGTATGTCAGGCAATATAACTTGATCATTTAGAAATATTTCCATCACTTATTTTCTTTCTTTCTTTTTTTTTTAAAGATTTTATTTATTTATTTGACAGACAGAGATTACAAGTAGTCAGAGAGGCAGGCAGAGAGAGAGAGAGGGAGAAGCAGGCTCCCCGCTGAGCAGAGAGCCCAATGTGGAGCTCAATCCCAGGACCCTGGGATCATGACCTGAGCCGAAGGCAGAGGCTTTAACCCACTGAGCCACCCAGGTGCCCCTCCATCACTTATTTTCAAATAGAGAAGCATCCTCTTGTGGAATGTTTCCTGTGAAGGGCAGATACTCTAGAACATCTCCGCAAAAATAAACTTCCTGGTGTAGTCTAATATGGTAGCTGTCCCTTCACATTTTTGAATCATTTTATTTACACTGAGGATCTTATAAAAAGAGTTTCAGAAAATGCTTAATGGATTATCATAGCTTAATAGGACGTCCCTGTCTTTCCCATATTTTAAATGCAAATCACTTTCTGCAGTTTATACACTTTTCCAAATGGGTTGCGACTTGAGCTGCACGATAGATCCATCTGAGCACCTGTTTCACAGCTGAGCCCACAGGACTCTGACTTAATTGTCCTGCCGTGGTATCTAAGTGATGGTATTTTAAAATCTTCTCTAATGATTTTAATATGCAGCTAGAGTTAAAAACCATGGATACGGAACATAGGTTTTAATTTATCCTTGTTAAATTTGTAAGCTAATTACTATTAAAATAATTAAATGGGGGGGGCGCCCGGGTGGTGCAGTCGGTTAAGCACCAGCCTTGGTTTCACCTCAGACCATGGTCTCAGGGAAGTGAGATTGAGCCCGGCATCCCGCTCTGTGCTCTGTGTGGAGTCTGCTTTAGATTCTCTCTCCCTCTGCCCGCCCCACCCCCCGCCCCAGCTCATGCACTCTCTTTCCCTCAAATAAATAAATTAATTAAAAAAATAAAATAAATGATACAATAGTCTTCTTAAGTTTGTTTAACAAATATTTATTGACCAGCTATTAATATCCAGAATTTTGAATGAATGCTTTTGTCTTTCCTAAAGTTGAGTTTGTTTTCAGTAAATAAGACATTATGGAATTATTTAAATATCGTAATCAACATGTGGGAAAGCTGAATTCAATACTTTACTCTCCAATTGTGCCTTCATCCAGAGAACAGGAGACTTCCCTTACTTTCTCGGTTTCTTCCCATTCTTGAACTGGTTTATCACCCCAAAGAAAATCTGTTTAGTTGTTGTGTGGATTTTACATATATTTTGCCTAATTTTGTATCATTGATTTGTTCAATATATATTTGAGAAGCACCTGCTAGATTTCAGATTCTTTGGAAACAGACCAACTCTTCAATGACTCACACTCTCATGTGGGAGCAGAGAAGGCGCAGACCACTGTGTGTGGTGTGGTGTCTCCTGTGTCGTGACAGTACACAGCAGCAGGCAATCACGGTGAAACAGACTCATCAGGGAGGATTGGGAATGTTTCTCCAAGGAAATTACATCTAATATGAGCCAAGAAAAGGGGTGAAGAATATTTCTGGTAAAGGAAGGAATATATGGAAAAAATTTGAGGTGTGAGAGACCGTGACCTGCGAACATGGCTGTAACATGAGGAGAAGGGGAGGTCTCCCTGCCTCTTCTTACTACATCACCCAGCTCTCCTGGACCGTTTGCTTGTTTTCTGAGGAAATGGGGAACCACTGAAAGGGTTCACAGAATGCAGTATTGCATTATGATTTCATCAGTCCCTCCTGACACATAGATATTATACAGGTAGATGTGAATACATTTTCAGATTAGTTGAATTTCCTCATAAATCTATTTGAAGTTCTCTACTGCTTTCTGAAAGAAAAGAATTTGGTGTCATTCAAAAAAGTCTGTAATATCCATGTAGCAAAGCTTAAAAACCTAAGATAACCTATTGTTGTATTTTAGTGACTTTAGTTGAAGAGTTAACTTATTTTGAGAGATTAGGTTTTTAGAGTTCCCATAATGATGCCAGTCAGTGCACTTACTACATTTTCAGTGCTGACACTAGAGATAGGAGTTTGAGACTTCACTGTCTGTAGGTGGTATTTAAAGTAGTGTGATTTTTTTTTTTTTTAAATCATTGTGGTATCCCTGGTGTCTAAAACAGTGCCTGGCATGTGGTAGGCACTCAAAATGTTTCCTGAGTGCCTGAATGACTAAAAAGTTCAGAGGATCTTCAGTTAAAGAGGGATTTAATACTGAATTATAATGATAATAATGATGTTATACTAGCTGACATTTATTGAGGGCTAATATATTCCAAGCACTGTCCTTAGAGCTCTTATGTATATTATTTCATTTAGTCTTCAAATCAATTTTATGAAGTAGCAGTATTATCCCTGTTTTATAAATGAGAAAATTGAGGCCCAGAGAAATGAGGGAACTTGTTAAGAAATGACAAAGTTAGCATTCGAACCCAGGCAGCCAGTCTCCAGAATCTGGTCTCTTTTTTTTTTTTTTTAATGATTATTTATTTATTTGACAGACAGAAATCACAAGTAGGCAGAGAGGCAGACAGAGAGAAAGGAGGAAGCAGGCTCCCTGCCAAGCAGAGAGCCCGATGTGGGACTTGATCCCAGGACCCTGGGATCATGACCTGAGCCAAAGGCAGAAGCTCAACCCCCTGAGCCACCCAGGTGCCCCCAGAATCTGGTCTCTTAACCTTACATTGCGTATCAGGAATGGAAGGCAGTGGACTTGACAACTCTGGAGTGCCGTTGTGGAAGGGGAATAAGCAACAAACCAGAATTATAGACCAGTGTAATACCAGAAGGATGATTGACTCTCTACTCTTGGTCCTCTGATCCCAGAAGAGATGCATCACATTTTCTGCCCAAATAGTTTGTCTTTTTTTTTTTTTTTTTAAAGATTTTATTTATTTATTTGACAGAGAGATCACAAGCAGGCAGAGAGAGAAGAGGAATCAGGCAGAGAGAGAGGAGGAAGCAGGCTCCCCTAGAGAGCAGAGAGCCCGATGCGGGGCTCGATCCCAGGACTCTGAGATCACGACCTGAGCCGAAGGCAGCGGCTTAACCCACTGAGCCACCCAGGCGCCCCCCAAATAGTTTGTCTTGCACATTGTTTACAACTTCTTTTCCAATGGCTTTGTTTTTATAAATTACTAGGCTCATTGCTTCTTTTTAAAACTTTTCTGGAGACATTACTCAGTTCATTTTAGGGAAGCCCTGAAAACATTAACCTGCTTTCTCAATATGATTAATTAATGCCATCATTAAATAATTTATTTTTCAAATAGGAACTCAAAATAATGAACTCTTTTATCAATTATTTTTATTACCATATAATGTATTATTTGCCCCAGGGGTACAGGTCTGTGAATTGTCAGGCTTAACACATTTCACAGCACTCACCATAGCACATACCCTCCCCAATGTCCATAACCCAGCCACCCTATCCTAACTCCCCCCATCCCCCAGCAACCCTCAGTTTGGCCTTGTTGTATGACTTCACTGGAGTCAATGATCATTTATCTTCCAAAAGAACAAATGAATTTTCATGAAAGAGAATAAGCTCCCAAAACATACATGTGGGGAGATGAAATGCTCAAGGACTTATGGCTTGCTGATGCTATCCACGTGACCTCCTCTGTGATTGCTTTCTCTTTTGTTTGATTTTAACTTGCATATCAATAATTTTTTTTTTCTTCCCAGACCATCACTGAAAAACACAAGCTAAATGTTCCTGAGACAATGACTGAGGTTCTTGATGTTTCTGATGAAGAAGGTAAGACTTTTATTTGGTCTTCATTGTCTTACACAAAGGCAAGCAAGCTATCCTTTTTCTCTGGGACTAAGCTGGTACCGTGAGTGTGGGTGACAGCCTCTTAACATTTCAAGTCACTTTTTCACCTGTTTCAAAACATCTACTTTTGTCATTTGGGAAAAGAGGATAGTGATTTGTCTATTTTCAATGGGTATTATCTTTAATGTCTTACTAAGTAATGACTGGAAAAGGGGAAAGATGCTGGAAATTGGCCATATGTTAGAAAAATCTACCTGATAATACAATTATTATTACTACATGTTTTGATTGTGTTAACATGCCTTTTTTTTAATTAAAATGCCTTAAAGTAAAAGACTTTGAAGTATACTCTCAATGGTATATTGAGAAATCTGTTTCTGATTAGTTCAAATAATCAGAATAAATTTTAATTCCAGAGGAGAGGAGGCTTATATAAGATTAAAAATAACATGTAAGTCATACTAATTCAACATAAGAATTTGTTTAAATCATAAAACATGCTCTGTATAGCTTTAGAGTTGACAAAAATTTTCTAAGGTAGTGGATTTCAGACGTTGAGAAGTTTGTTGCTCTAACGGGAGTACAGGGGACTGCCTGGGGTGGGAATGGGGTGTTGTGCTGCAAGTCTGTCCCTCCATAAGAGTTTCCAGCTCCCGACTTCTACTTCAGTTAGAGGAGTTGACTTTTCTTGAACAAAAAAAATCTGCCAAAAATTCATGAATGCAGCAAATGAGGTATGTAGCCAAATTTCCATAGTACAGCTTTTGGTCAAATGTATATGTTTGAAAGACTATTGCCATAAAGAATAGTACTAGTTAAAACTTGCCACACACTGGAGAAGGTCCAAACGCTTCCCACTGTAGACAAAGAGAAACTCTGCCAAGGACTAATCTGAGGGAAAGAGCAGCCAAAACCCAGCAACAGAGTGCACGCAGCACACCCAAAACACTCTGAAGCACCAGGCCCTGGACAGTGGATGACCTCTTCTTAATACAGCATTGCTTTAAGGAGCAGGGAACATAATAGGCTTTCTGCAATGCAGAAGACAGAGATCTAGACAAAATGCCAAGATGGAGGGACTCATCTCGAAAGAACAAGAAGAGAGCACAGCCAGAGATCTAAGCAAAACAGATTTAAGTAATACCCTGAACCAGAATTTAAAATTACAACCATAAGGAGACTAACTGGGTTTGAGAAAAGCATAGAAGACACTAGAGAATCCCTCACTGCAGAGATAAAAGAACTAAAAAAACGAGTCAGGCTGAAAAGAATAGTACTATTCTCAATATTAATTGCTTTTATTGAGAAATAGTAAAAGTAGATTTTTAGGTTCTTCACGATGTAATCAGAAGGTGAAACTTTACAAGGAGATGTCATTATCTGGAACTAGTTCGCTCACTGTTTGGTAACAGGTAGTGAGTTATCTCGGCTTTTGTGAGAGCTTAGGACATGAAGGAGCAAATGTTTGGTCACTGGGTTATTAAAAGTAAATTAATAATTGTCAAAGTTAGCATTTCAAGTATTATAACAATTTTATGTTCCATCCTAATACTTGCCAGCTAATTTTAGCATTCATATATGCACATCACATTTTCTTTTGTGGGATCATCTTTTTAAACAGCCCTTAAACAGTTTGGTGACAACTTTATTGATGGGGAAGCTCTTAGTGATTCAGGTACCTTTAGAGGAAGCTATTGGAGTGAAAGCTTTGCTTTTCATTTTTCTTAACTAGATAGAAGCAACTTGCTTAATATTTAAATATGCGTGCCTAATACTAACCTGTTTCTTTTGAAATAGCATGTGTGATGTGGATGGAGTTGTATATGTATGCACGTGAGTGTGTAGATTTTATTAACTCAGAAGCTTAAAGCCATAAATTGCTTATCCTATTAATGATGTTCCTGCTGTTGTTGAGACCTATTACTATAATTAAGTTACCTAATGAGCATCATATAAATATTTTACCAAAACTAATCTCTCCTCTAAGAATACACATTTAGAGAAAAAAATAATTCTTTGTAAGTTGACATTTAACTACCAGGAACCTGTTAAAACTAAGTTAGACTGCATGACTGAATAAACTTCATATCATTCTTGGCTGAAGATAAGTTTTAGATGTGATTAGAAATATGTGAAATTGGTAGTTATCATGTGATTTTTGAAGGTAACTAGGAATAAAAATGAAAGCCCTTAAAATTATGTAGAGGGGGAAAATGACCGATATAAAATATTCTATCTCCCAAGAAGGATCCAAGAAATTTGGCTTTCATATTGCCAAACCCTTTAATGTTTTATGGGCTTCAAATGTTTTCATGGAACCTGGCATTCATATGGACAAAGTGCAGCCACATCTATTTTTAAGGTATTAGCCAATTCTTCCTTTTTTTTTTTAAATTTACAGCTCTTTTGTTTTGATAGTTGTGAGTATTATCAATACTCAAAAGGATATTCAAGCCAAGTACAGATGTCCTTTCAGGCTAACTTGGTAGAATAATCGGGATATCCACCCATGAATCCAGTCAACAGTAGTAAAAGTGATTTTATTGTGTGTAAAGTTCTAGAACTGCTACCATTGGGGAATCAGAGGTGAACACAGTGCGTGTCTTTACAAAACATCGATGGAGAGAGAATGTAGAAGTTAAATGAAGTAGAACAGAAGGTAGTATGTCACCCACTTTTCATATCTGCCTTGGAAGCTAAAGTTGGAGAGACGCAGTACAGTCCTGTGGACTTGCTGAAACTGAGAGATTTATAGGAAAGTGACACAGGTTTTAGAGACACAGTGCCTTTTAGAGGTTTTAGAGACAGGTTTTAGAGACACACTTCCACACAGTGTGGAAGGCCCTGTGAGGGGAAAGTGCATGAGAGAGACACAGAGTAGCAAAATAATCCAGTCATTTGGTTTGGTTCATGCATTAAAACATACTGGACTTCACTGTGAATGTTTGAGTTCTTACCTGAAAAGTCTGGGAAATTAGGACATGTTAAACATTTTGAATAATGATGGAAACAAATCTGATTATCACAAAGATTAAACCAGCAGTGATATACTAAAGGAGTGTATTAGGAAGAAATTGGAAGGAGGCTTAGATATTTTGACAGAAGAGAAAACATTTACTAAACATCTGCAAAGCTAGGGGCTTTGTCTCATTTAATCCCCAGAGCATCCACATAAGCTAGGCTATTGATTCCCCCTCATTTTTTTTTAATTAAAGATTTTTATTTATTTGACAAACAGAGATCACAAGTAGGCAGAGAGGCAGGCAGAGAGAGGTAGGGAAGCAGGCTCCCTGCTGAGCAGAGAGCCTGATGCGGAGCTTGATCCCAGGACCCTGGGATCACGACCTGAGCTGAAGACAGAGGCTTTAACCCACTGAGCCTCATTTTTTTTTTTTTTTTCAGGTGAGGAAATGCTCACCTGAACAGGAGGAGACTAAGACTTAAACACATTAAGTAGTTTGTGCCACAGCACATGACCATCAAATTGTGGGTGGGGAATGTAAACCCAGTGTGAGAGCCGTTATAATACTCAGTCAGATTATATATAAATCCTGGTGGGACAACATGGCGGAGAAATAGAAGGAAAAGATAGAAATGGGAATTCAATCTGAGAGTATCGTACTGTGCAGACAAAAATGCAGCTGCAAATGTAATCCTGTACATCTTCATAGGCTCATGAGCTGATCCCTATCTTTGCTGACTCAGCTCCATGGCAGTAAGTTACATGGTGGGGCTCAGGGGTGATAACACTTACATAACTAAAATACCTGTAGAAATGTGACCCATGTGTCCCATATACTCAAAGGTTTGTGTGCGGATGGTTTGTACAAACTTCTCCACCGGTTCTCTAGAATGATGTGTACTAATGATAGTCAAGAGAACTCCAGAATGGCTGAGTGTTATGATAAAATGTACAGGAACCATCCATTGTCTCCTTTTGTCACACTTCAGCTGTGAACACTTGACAGTGGGCTCCTCCCATCCTCCTCATATTACATGACAGATTCTGCAGCCAACTATTTCTTTCACTTTCTCATAAATAAGAGTAGAGTTTATCTTCCCAAATGTTAACAAGTTGGCTTTTTTTCCCCCTAGAAATAATTTAGATTTATATGCAAACTAGGTAATGCCTGTGGCTTGGTAAACCAATTCATAGAATTGATGTTAGAATTTTTTTCTCCCAGAAATAAACAAAGGGGGACCCCAACTTACTTGACCCATAAAGTATGCCCATATACAGACTTACCAATTACATAAGAGGAAGGAAGTAGTAGGAACAATTAAGTCCTACAAATCTTATAACAAAATGTTTAACCTTGATTTGATCACTATTTAGACATTGATTTTCTTTCTGGACTTTTCATCATTGCTTACCATCACGAACATTTACTTTTGCCAAGTTACTTCACGTAGTATTCTCTAAATAAGTAATGTGTATTACTCCTTCATTCTCACTGTTTATTGCCCTCCATGACCCCTTACACATGAGCCTCTCATCTGAAGTAGCATCAATCTCTGTCCATTAAAGTTGAATCCAAACAAATGATCATCTCCAATATCCTTCTTCAGTGACTCCTTCTCCAGCTTCACTGGAATTTCCTAGGAATATCACAAGAAATTACCATAAACTTGGTGGCTCAAATTTATCCTCTCACAGTTCTGGGAGTGAAAAGTTTATGGTGGGACCATACTAACCTCTGATACTCTATGGTAGAGTCTTTCTGGTGTCTTCAGGTGTCCAGTGGCTGTCAGTGATCCTTGGTGTTTGTTCCTTGGCTTGTAGACAGATCACTCCAATCTCTGCCCACCTGTGGCATTTTCCCGTGTCTCTAAGAACACTCTCATTGGAGCTATCCAATATGATGTCACCTCAGTCCTTAACTTAGACACATCTATAAAAGCCCTATCTCTAAGTTAGGCTCCATTCTCAGGTTCCAAATAGAAGTGAATTTTGTGGGGGAACACTGCTGAACCCGCCACACCATCTTAAAGGGATCTCTCTCTCTCCTCTCATCTTTTTGGTTCTTAAGGTTGACCAACATCATGCATTTTGTGTTTGACTCTAGTGTTATCTGTAGATTGCTATTATTGTTACATCTTGCTTTGTGAGATGTTAAAAAAATTTTTTTTGTTTTTTTTTTTTTAAATAGATTTTAAAAAAAAAGATTTTATTCATTTGAATGAGAGAGACAGAGAGAGCACAAGCAGGGGGAGAGGCAGGAAGAGAGGGAGAAGCAGGTTCCCCACTGAGCATGGAGCCCAAGATGGGGGACTCAATCCCAGAACCTAGGAATCACGACCTTAGATGAAAGCAGACACTTAACCTTCTGAGCCACCTAGGCACCCCATGAGGGAACACTTTAGAGAAGAAAATATATGTAAGGGTGGGCGGGCACCCCTTAACGTAATTTTAAAAACTTTACTCACGTTTTCCTTGGAGCCATCAGATTTACAAATATTTAAACACAGTACAATTATATTTCTTTCTTTATGATATATACATTTACAAATACTTTTGCATAAATGAAATTGAGCTCGTGTTTCATTGATGTGTCACATTTTTACCGTTTTGTGTTAATAAAAACAATAGCTAGCAATTAGTATATCTGGCATTTGATTACACATTCTTATGTTATTTAATTCATACACCTACTGTGTGAGATAGATTATTAGTATCATTCCCATTTACTAGTTGTGGGAACTGAGGCTCTGGAAGATTAACAGGTCAGTAAATAACAGAATTAGAATTTGAAGCCAGGTCTATCCAATTCTGAGAACTCAACTTTTAATTAATACTCTGTGGAGCCTAACTCATTCTGCTAAAACTCAGTAAAAATCTGATGGTGTCACTGAAGAAGCCGTGAAAATATTTTTAATGATGAGACTTATTATAACTGTCAAATGTTAAATGCATTGACTTTGAGAGAAAAATCAAATGGTGAATAAATTACATCTCCATTTATTGGAAGGTCTTTTTTTTTTTTTCAAATCTGTCATTAGCTTTAAGTAATTTAGACAGCTAATAATCCTTTGATATATACTTGAGATCTTAAGATCATATATATAAGCAGTGAAATGTCAGAGACATATCCTTTTTTTTTGAGACATATCCTTCTTATAATTCTTTAGTGTTGTACCTTTATAAATTAGTGTTGATTTAGAACAATTACTTGAAACAAATGAGAATATAATAATGAATATTTAGGGCTGCCTGGGTGGCTCAGTGGGTTAGGCCTCTGCCTTCGGCTTGGGTCGTGATCTCAGGGGCCTGGGATCGAGTCCCACATCAGGCTCTCTGCTAGGCAGGGAGCCTGCTTCCTCCTCTCTCTCTCTCTGTCAAATGAATGAAATCTTTAAAAAACAAAAAATAATGAATATTTAACTTAGTTATAGGAATGAAGTTGTCCTTCTAGTTGTCCTTTACATAGATCATCAGGCTTAAAGTGTGTGATTAGTGTCTCAAGGAGTCATCAAAAATAGTTTCTCTCAGCCATATTATTTATTTCTCCATGTCAGTATGTTAATGGTGTACAGCATGTCTGTGAATGAGATACTACTTATTCAGTTACCTGAAAAAGATACTTGTGAAAGTATTCTATTCCTAGTCACAGGCAGGGAATGTACCTTAGCATTTGGGCTTCTGAATATGAACTACCACACTTAGTCATTGCTTTCTGCCACTACCTGATTACTTAATTCTCTTTTTTCCCCCGTCGTTCGCCTTTGGGAAACCACCTAATTTCCAACAAAACATCCTTTTTATGCTCAGTAATATTTTTAAAATTGAATTCCAGGTTGTTTCTTAAAATGTCACAATCTGCTCACTTCGTTCTTGTGTTCTTTCCCTAATGTGCATATCTTGTTAATCTTATAAATCATATCCCTCCAAATACTATATCACATATTTGTTTTAGAGCAGTAGATGTTTCTTGTTGTTGTTGTTGTTAAGATCTTGTTTATTTGTTCGAATTAGAGATAACGAAAGAGAGCAGGAGTCAGGGGGGCAGGGAGAGGGAGAAGCAGACTCCTCATTGAGCAGGGAACCCAAGGCAAGGCTTGATCTCGGCACCCAGCAATCATGACCTGAGCTGAAAGCAGACGCTTAACCGACTGAGCCACCCAGGTGCCCCGAGCGGTAGATATTTCTTAGCATATTGCCAATGACATGAAGAGATTGTTAATGCTGGACATTAGGTACGAAATTATTGGAACTATGTCTGGAAGTTCAGTAGTCTACATAGTGGAATAAGTTAAATAATACAGCTATAAACCAGCTATGGCAACAAAGAAATGAGTAAAGAAAACTGACCGATATTAAGAGAATAACAATTCAGATCATTCTTTTTCTCTTGATAAGCAATAGAAAAATGGGCCAAATATTGTTTCTCTGAGTTTTAGCACTTGCTGGTTGCATGTGTTTTTTATTGGGTGTGCGGTGTTCCGGTGATGTAAGTGCTTTTCTGACATTTTTTTCACGATCTTCGCCCTATTTTGTAGTTAATACAACATTCAACAAATAATCCTTCCTCCGTCTTCCTCTGATTGCTTCAAGGTGACGACACAATGACAGGCGATGGGGGAGAATACCTTCGGCCCGAGGATCTGAAAGAACTAGGTGATGACTCGCTACCCAGCAGTCAGTTCCTGGATGGCATGAATTACCTCCGGTACAGCTTGGAGGGAGCCCGCTCTGACAGGTAGTCCCCTAGTCCTGACCCTTGGTATCAGCCAGAAGGCAATGCGACCCTTTTTCATGATGATGATAAAAAAAAGTAGACATAATTAAGGATACTTAATAGGTACTGCATGTTATATCTTACTGCATCCTCGAGCAACTTGAAGTGCCCATTTTAAAGAACAGGAAACGGAGGACTAGAGAGTTTAAGTGACAGTAAAAGTCAGATGACTAGTAAGAAGCAGAGCAATAAGTAAAGAGCGCTCTACATTTCAGTATAGTGTTTGTAATCATTTACCACTTTTTTCCCAGGCGAATAAAAAGGACCATTTTACCTTACGGGTATTTTTGTTAGTGGTATAGATTCTGTGACTGAAAGGGTGTTGTGAAGAAGGATGAAAAAAAAACAAATTCAGAAGGAAAGTGCCTGAAATTGATTTTCATGAAAAAGAATTAGACCCAAATCCTCCAAGATCTTGAATACAAAAGCAATCTGAGCAAAATCTGAAGGAGCACAGGTTTTATAGACAAATCTGAAGAGGTTTATGTCATATTCTGCAGTATAAAATTTCTGATTATTACAAACTAACCCAATTGGTGTTTGTTACTTTTTGAGGCAGGCTGAATGAGAACATTCCATGGTACTTCATCAAAAGATTGACTGCCAATTTAGGTTAACATATGGTTGTCCGTATAGTGTCAAGTTTTTCACTAGTCAGTAATCTTAGGTTTGTAGGGGCGCCTGGGTGGCTCAGTGGGTTAAGCCGCTGCCTTCGGCTCAGGTCATGATCCCAGGTCCTGGGTTCAAGCCCCACATCGGGCTTTCTGCTCAGCAGGGAGCCTGCTTCTTCCTCTCTCTCTGCCTGCCTCTCTGCCTACTTGTGATTTCTCTCTGTCAAATAAATAAATAAAATCTTTTAAAAAAAAAAAATCTTAGGTTTGTAGTTTTAATCTTGGCTGTATTCTAAGCTGTAGTTAACATATTTGTAGTCTAAGAAATATATACCTTAAAGTGTAGTTAATTCTAAATGGATAATTAACAAAAGCAAATTTTTCTTGGAGCTTTCCAATGAACATTGATGCCTCTTCCCTACTTTCTTTCTTTTTTTTTTTTTAAATGATTCAGTGTGCATATAATAAGTACCTTTCTGGGCTGCCTTGTGGTAGGTGCTAGAGGTACAGACATGACTGGACTTGATTGCTAAAATCATATTTTGATGGGATGTGAGAGAAACTAGGCCAGTAGTACCCACAGAGTATAACTAAAGCCCCAGGGCTCAGGCTTCCTAGAGGAGATGAACCCAAACTGAGACAAAGTGATGAGTAATGATGGTGAGGAAAAGGTGGGGAGGGCATTTGAAGCCTTAATGAGATCATGAGCAAAGCCTCATGGTATATGAGAGAAGGAACAGCACAGTTTTGGTAGAGCATAGTGAGAAGGAGGGGAGAGCTTGTCTGCGTTTTGGATGGCTCCCTCTGACTATACACTTAAAGGATAAGTTTTAGAGAGAATTGTCAAAGGGCCAAACCTGGCAGTTACAAGCATCTGAAAAACTATGGCAGGAATATTAGCTGAAGCTGTTAAGAGAAGACTTGACCTTTAACCTTAGTTGTAGCAATCATGGAGAGAATTTGGGAAATGACAAATTTGAGAGCATATCTGTGAGGTAAAAGTAGCCAGATTTGGTGATGGATTTCATGGGATGGGAGAAGAAGAGGAAGAATGTTTGATTGACCCTTTGGCTTCAGTGACATAGATGGACGGTGGTCCTTGAGGTCAAGAGTCACAGAAGAGGGAGCCACTTGAGGTGAGAGTGGGGGGACTAGTGACGGGACAGGTTTTTTATATACTGGGTTCTGACATACAGATAGACTGAGGCATCACAATCTAAAATTTCTAGGACAAGATTTCAAATTTGGAGAACATGAAATTTATGGCCTTAAACAAAGTCATAATAATCTATAAATAATCATATCACTGTCAGAGGGAAAAAAAAACCTTCATTTCCAGCATGGTCTGTTTTATTAAGTTCTTGATCTGATCCTTTCTCCTTCTTTGAAAGTACTAGGTTATGGAAGATTTAGAACAATACTTTCCATAAAACAGGGTCCATGGTTTGATGATTCTGCTTAAACTGAACACTTACCAGCATGTAAAGATGGTGTATGGAATAAACCAACCATGGTCTGTTCTCCAGGTCCTCACTAGCATTTCTAGAACCCCAGATTGTATTCGTGATCTCCAACATGGAATTACAAGCAACATCTCATTTTCATGGGTTTCTTGTTTCACTGATTTTTTTTTAAATTTCTTTATGCAATTCAATGGGAGTTTTCTTTTTTTGGTAACCATTTTTACTTTTCGTTATTTATTTGGTATGCTTTCAATAGTACCATGCCCAGGTAGGTATTAAATAGCATGAAAACACTGTGACACTTCCTGGATACATCCACATTTCCCTGCTCACTGTGCAATGTGTGTAGTATGTGTGTGTGTGTATGTGTTGGCAGGAGGTGCTTATATTCTAGAATTATGGATTTGTTCTCAAATTAGGATTTTTACCTATTGAATTGGACAACTGAGCTAGAAGGGTGAATATATTACCAGAATACAAGTCTGTGACAAGACTCTGGCCTGACTTTTACTGTCACAGCCCCACCTTGTGGTTGATAAAACATTAGCATGGCTTCCCCAAAGGAACCTAAGTCTGTGTATGGTTGGAGATGGTAGAAAAACCATTCTGATGCCTAAATTTTACATGAATGCAGGAGAACAAAAATATGAACAATTTAATGTAAATTGATAAAAATATATCCAAGTTCTTATTATTTAGATTTGACGTCCATTTTATTATTGCTTACAAATTAAATTTAGTGTAAAATGCTAAGTATCAATGGGCCACAGAAGCTTTTCCATGCATTAAGCAATTGAAATTTTTAGATATTTACTAGTTTAATAAGGTTCAAAAGCTTCATTAATTGAACCTCTAATACCACAGCTAAGATAGTGATTATTACATTTTTGATGAAATTACAGACTATCTATTATGTGTCCATAAAGTATATATATTACTATATATATATTACTATATATATTATATATTACTATTATATTATATTATATATTATATATTATATATTATTATATATTATATATTATATAATATTATATAATATATAATATATTATATATTATATAATATTATATATTATATATTACTATATATATTATATATATATTATATATATATATATATATAAAATATATATATTACTATAGTGCAGAGAATTAAAATTTAAGACCATAACTTTTGGCACAGTCCTTCATTGAACAGCACATACAGACTTACACTCCTATAGATATGTGTTATTATGAATTTATTAACTGAATGGGATGACCTCTGACTTAATGAAAAAGAAATGTATTGGATCGTAAAATATTTAACCTTGTTTCTAACGTTTTAAGTCAGGATAGAAAATTTTTTACCCAGAGACTTGACTTATTCCTGACGTTTCTGCTGATCATTATTCCATTACAGTAATTACTCTACTGCTAGAATATTCTAACTTTATTTATTTAAGTAAATTCTGTATATCAGAGAAAGAGCAGTTAGAATCTATAAAATTGGTTAAACATCAATTAGCATTTTAGAAGGCAGTAAACAGGAAGCCAGTAACACAGCAGTAGAGATAGTTAGGCATAGTTCCAACTCATTCCTTCTCCCTTGCTCCCTCTCTTTCCAACTTTTCTCACTCCCTGTCTCCATATCCTAATATTTTTCTCTCTCTACCCTAATCTCCTTTTTGGTTGTAAGTCAACTCTTTCTTTTTTTCCTTCTCCCTTCTCTTTCTTTTCTTTCTTTCCTGTTGGGACTTTAGGAAGGACAAAAAATAACACCAATATCCCTTTTCCCCCCTGATTCAAACCAATTGAGAGAGAGACCTGGGTATCAGGTAGATAAATATCAAAAATCCACCTTTATTGTTGGCATATTAGTTGCAAAATACAGCTCTGTGCTTGGAGCCAAATGAGCTCTTTCATACCTCATTCCTACAGAGACAGCATCCACCCAGCTATGGTCTCTCCCCAAAAGTGGCAGTTGGGACCTGGCTGCGTTTTTGCCAAGTTTAGACCTTTGCAGTGGTGGCAGTTACGTCACTAGGCAGTTACGTCAGTGACAGGGTCTCTACTTGCTGTTGTGAGCGGGCATGTCGAGTCCTATACCTCAGTGCCTCTTGCTCCTTTTGCACTGTTCATCCCTATCAATTTAGCACCTTTCCATGTATAAAGTTACAGTTTGGATTTTTAATCCTCAAGTCACAGATAGAGATTCAAGGTTAGGCCAAAGTCGGTCCTAGCAGCCTGCAGCCTGTTTATGACGTGCACCATCAAAACCCAACTGCACACCTGTAAAACCAGCCCCAATATCGTTCGGCTGCCAGGACTGAAACCCCTGCGGTTGGGCACACGAAGGCATCTGGGTGGCCCCAGCCTTGGCTGCCAGAGCCTCAGTCTTCTCTAAGACCCTGTATAACATAAAATTGTGAGTTACCAAGTTAGATTTAGATTTCATTTCATTATAAGCAAAGATTTGTACAGGATCAGTCAACTCCTTTAATTCATGTCACTTGCCTTCTAATATTCCAGGTCTGTTTTGGGGACATAAAAACTACAGCTGGGGGTACCTGGGTGGCTCAGTCGGTTAGGCGACCTCACCTTCTGCGCAGGTGACGGAGTCCCAGGATCCAGTCCACATCAGGATCTCTGCTCAGCAGGGAGTCTGCTTCTCCCTCTGACCTTCCCCGAATCTCATGCTCTCTCTCACTCTCTCTCTCAAATAAATAATAATAATATTAGAAACATTTAAAAAAATATTTATTTGAAAAAAAACAAACTACAGCAGAATAGGAAGGAGAAGGCCCTCAATTACTATGAATTATCTACCAAAATGATGATTTCCTCAAAGATAATGGAAGTTCGCTATATTGACACCTCATAAAAATGACAGTATACAGCTTACAATATTAGGTCTATTTGAAAAATGAAAATAGCTTCTACTAAGAAATATGCTAACCTGACACTTAGTCCATAATTCTACAGTGCTTCACTGGCCAAATACCCACTAGCCGAAAGTAAATGAAACTTTGCTTCTATAAATATTGTGAAAGCTTGCATAGCTTTTCCCCTATGGGCTTTGGCTACTATTTTGAACGTGGATATTTAATTCCTGGACCAATACGAATAAAATACAGCTTCTGTGAGACATCAGTCTATTTGTCATTTGATCGTACAAATTGATTAGGAAGGAATGAATTGCACTTATGCAAATGTCAGGTTTTGCCCATCACATTTGCATCTGTAATTCAGAACTCGGAAATTCCGACGTATCCAAAATATAAACCCTTGATTCCCGAGGCCTAAATCCCATTTGAAGCCAAGCCTCGTTTTCGGTTGTGTCTCTGGCAGTTTGTTTCTGTGCTGACAGATGTGTCTGTGTCCTGGGCTGGCGCTTAGACTCGGTTTCTTGCGCTCTTGCGTCTTATTGCCACAGCAACCAGCACTCTTTGGTGCCTCAATCATCACACAGAGGACGTGCAAAGGGAACAATGCTGCCCTTTGAAATAGCGTTGTTGGAGACACCAGAGACAAACAAGAGGAACTCCACTTCCGCAGGAAGCATGCCTCTGGCTGCAGTTCATTTCACTCTGTACCTTCCAGGGGAATGCACCCGCGGGCAGTCGCTCGCAGTTGGACAGGAGGGGAATGAGGCGTGCAGAGAATGGAAAATGAGCGAAGAGGAAACCCGCGCTTTCGTTCTGTGCTCTCTGAGGGTGGTTCCCCCCCCCCCCATATTTTTCTTAGTTGCAGGGAGGTTAACGTTTAACACAGACTGAACCAGTCTATTCTGGCATGATTTCCTGTGTGAATCTCTGGTCCTGGCAGTAACTGAGCTACAGTTTGCTGGTTTCAGACATTTCTGGGGAGAAAATAAATCAGATTAGAAGTATCAAATTTTAACTTCTGGATTCCCTTGTGCCCTTGCCATTGAGTGTTAGGAACCAGTCAAAAGATGTGTTCGTTTAGTTGTTGGACAGAGAGGTAGGGCGACACAGAGACCTGTGTTTCCTTCTCCCATGGTTGCAATTCGTGGCCCCCTGGAAGTTGCACTGTTAGCTAATAGCGCGCTTTTTTCACTCTCCTGCTCGGCTCATCCTTCCATCCTCCCAACCCTGCTCCTGCTGTTGGTATATGACCATGGCCTCCTGCCAACCTACCAGCCTCCGATCCTTCAGTTCCGACAGGTCTCACACCCTGAGCCATGCCTCTTACCTGAGGGACAGTGCCATGATTGACGACACAGTTGTCATCCCCAGTCACCAGGTACGTGACTTTTTACTTTGATGTTTCAGCTTTCCGGAGAGCTTTCTGACGGTACCTGTTGCTGGAAATGTCCAGAGAAAGTTTTTGTCTGAAAAGAAATCGTCTTAATTCAGTTGACAAGCTGGATAAGAGTTGGAGGGCTTTTCTCAAGTGATATCTATACACTGCTTGTTACTTCAGCTAGACTGAATTCTTCTGTGGAGGTTAGATGTGAAAATGAATGTCTTTCTAAAAATCTCTGGTAAAGGAAAAAGTGAGATAGGGTGCATTGAAGGTAGGAAGTAAAAGGTACCTGTGAAAATATACCTTGTATTTAAAATTGTTATCTGTTATTAGAAAACCATTAGAGATTGTTATGGGATATTTTAATCTTAGATGTGATTTTTATCAGTTTCGGCTGGTTGGATATAGAGAAGTAGATGGGAATACCTGCTCTCTGCCAAGACGATTACACAAATGTGGTCTTACGTCATTAGTATAATTTAAATAGCAATGTGTTATAAAAGATACGTTTTAATGCCTCGGTCTTATACTTTTAAATGAAAAGATGGTAATATCACCTTCCTGTGATACCACTTTTTAGAGTTCATTATATTTTATTTAAGTGAAGGAAAGTATTTTTATTAAATCCAGTGCTCTCTGTATTTAGGTGTCAACTCTAGCCAAGGAGGCAGAAAGGAATTCTTACCGTCTCAGCTGGGGCACTGAGAACTTAGACAACGTGGCTCTTTCTTCCAGCCCTATTCATTCAGGGTGAGTAAATCAATATTCTGTATCCAGATCAAGAGGTAAAAAGAGATGAGCGTGAAAATAACAGCTTTGTCCAGTAGCTTTAGCTGATGGCTAGCTTACAGGGGAAGTGACCTTTGTTTAAACTTGGAAATAACAAAGTTTTATCCAGTGTGGACTCTACCTACACAAATGAACCAGCAAAAAGGGTTGAAGTCAGCATAGAAAAACTGACTGTTGTTTTAAAATAACTAGTAGAATTGCATCAGACAGCTTGCTCACTAACCAGAATAAACCAGTGGCCTCCTTACTGTACACATTTTGTCTTAAAGACACCTTAGAAAGAGGAGCAGGATCATTTGGTTTCTAGAAAGTTCTTTGTACTAAGATTAACTGACTAGTTTAATAAATGCCTTTTCTCACATATCTGTGCATTTAAAATAATGATTATGGAAGTTTGAATCACACAAATATATAGAGGAGTTCATATGCTGTTTGAAGTAGGGATATGTCAAAAAAGATAACCACTTAGCTTCTCAGACACCTTCTAAAAGTCATCCAGGTAATATGTATATCACTACTAAAGAAATGCTGCCTGTTTGTATAAACTCATGAAAAAGTAGGACTTTGAGTTAATAATTTTAAACATACTTAACGAGGTTTGTAAGGTGTAAGAATTCAATTATGCAGAAAATAATTTTCTTAAGGAGTTTCAAATTGTAACCCTCTTGACAATTGGGTTTTCCCTGACATTTTGGTAGTTTCCATCTGTATAGTAATTTTATTATTATATATAAACTTTGAAAATTTTTTTCACTTAATCACTGTCATTTTCCTTTTTAAAAAGCCCCACTTTTATTTTATCTGTGCAGTACTTTGATTTAACTTACTATCCCAAACTCTTTGTCCATAATCCCCAGAACTATTTTGAGTGGTAGAGCCTTTCTTGTTTTTATTATTCTAAAATATTTTCTTAGAAAAACATTTAAAGATACTTGTCACTGAAAATTTGGGACCTTTTAGTCTAATTCTCTACTATAGGCTCCTAGAATATAAAATTAGTCATACAGATACTGAAATTAATCATAATACTCTTTTCCTTGTTAAATAAGTAAAGGCCAGTATCCTGATGCAAGAGTCATTTCAAGGGAGTAAAAACCAAGTTAAACCTCATCCAAATTTACTAACATATTTTTAGATATAAAATGAAATAATTAAAATCTGACATCTGTACATTATTCTAAAAGCATAACATTGCATTATGCTACTAAATTTCTCAACCATCCTAAGGGGAAAAGAGGCTTGGACCTACAGTATCAGAGGATAATAGAATCTAGAAACCATAATAAAATATTTGAAGACTCTATCGAGCCTACGAAGTGACAAGATTATTTTAGGCAAAGTGTGATTAACTATCAGTAGCTGAATTTGCAAGAGTCAAGGTGTTAAGTGATAATCCTTCAGTTTTCAAAACAAATACTTTACTTTAAAAAAGGAATTTCTTAGAATCTTTTAACTGCTGAAGGGCAATAACATACTCAGCTTAAGTACATCAATATGCAAACTGATTGTATAAAATTAGATAAATGCATAAGCAATTCTAGTTGATAATGATGCAATAAGAGCATCCAGTGGTTAGAAGTTAACCACTTGTTGAGATAAGGGTCTTTAATCTCTTCATCTGTAACACACCAAATTTCTTATAAACTTCAAACATGACTACTGATTGTAAATAATTTCAACTCTGGCTGTACATTAGAATCACCTTGGAGCTTTAAAAAATATACCCAGGCCCCAACTCAAACCAATTACAACCAAATCTCTCTTGCTGGGGCCTTAGCACTGGCATTTTCTACAAGCACCAGTAGTCCAAATATGTGTGTTTTATGTATTCGCCACACCATTAGAAAGGAACAAATTTGCTCAATTATTGGGGAGATCTAGGTAATTAACGTATACCTAGTTCTTTCAAAAAAAATTCTTTTTAATCACTTTCATTCACGTATTTGTTCTTCCCACATTGTTGAATTCTACAAAGTACCAAACGTTGTGCCGGGCAGTAAGGAAAACAGATAAGCAAGATCTAGCCCTTACTTTTAAGAAACACACCTCTCTGTGGTTGGAAGATGATCCGTGGGAGAGAGATAACATGGTGGTTAAGAGCATGCTTTGGGGTTAGACCAATCCTGACCCTGACACTCAGTATGTGAAATTGGGCAGGTTCTGTAAAATATCTGAGTTTGTTATATTATGGACCTCATAGAGGAGGTTTATGGATTAAATGCTTCTTAAATAATTAGAATTTTTCCTAGAAAGAGTAAGTACTCAATAGATTATAGCCATTAGTATTTATACAACCCTCATCTACATCTTCCAGAGCCTTCATCAATTCCAAATCAGTTAAGCAGAATGTATTCTGAATCCTCTAAATGACAACACCACTATAGTACAATTTATAATAGTAACGTTTAACCTGTTATTTTTATCAGGTAATCTGTCATCTAGTGGGGCCTCTAGAATTTGAACACAGTGCAACAGATGACTCTAATGGGATGAATACTTATGTTGAAAACACAAGGATTTTGAGTGTCATGGTATTTGAAAGCTACAATGATATTAAAGTATATGAATAACTTTCATAATATCATCTAATAATGATTTCTTTTTTTCAACTTGTTCATTATACATGACACACCTGTGTAGTAGTAGTTTTTATGTATTTTTTAAGGAACTATGTTTTTCCTTAATTAATTGGGAGAATTCCTAAGCCACTTCAAAATCTGCCCAAAATGTAAGAAGTAAATGATTTTTAGAGGAGATAACAAAGTCAGCTTTTTTATGCACATGCTACTGAGTTTGTGTATAATGTTCTATTTGATTCCATAAAGGGATTCTTGAGAAATTGAAGACACAACTTTTACCAATAAGCAGTGTTAGTAATTTTATTTTTCCAATGTCTAATTGTCCATGACTACAAAAGAGTAGGTATCAGTGCTTAAAAAAAATCTGTTCTGCCCAATATATACAGCCAACATCTGTCCAAAGAAAGACTGACAGTAAAAATTTTTGTTTTTGTTCTTTGGATTGTGTTACTGATTCACAATCTAATCAATAGTCATTTCTAGCATCCCAGTCATGATCATACCAACATAAGCTTGGGCAAGAATTTGAATTTTATAATTCTTCTCCATTTCAGACGTGCATAATGAATTAACAAATGAAAGGCACAATTTCTAGTAATAGTTTTGTAATTCATTTTAAATGTTATTATTTCAGTGGTGTTATTTTTATAGTTCCTTAATGCCAGCCAAGTGCCAACAATTAAATGCTACTTCATGATGTTATGTTACAAAATATTATAGTAACTAGAAGTCCATAAGAAAGTGATCTTTTAAAGGACTTCTTTTTCATAAAAACATGTTGACAATTTTGCTGTGAACCTAAAGCTACTCTAAAAAAATAAAAGCAGTTTAAAAAAAACCTGTGAAGGCAGTTGGCTCAAATAGTGGAAGTTGATCTTAGAACCTCAAGAAAGTCAAGACTGTTTCTCATTTTACAGTATTAATATTTATCACATACCTAGATCAGTTAATTTAGTTGTTTATGTATTTCAAACACCCTAGTTTTTTTTAAGGCACAGGAAGGTAAATTCCTTGGGATGAAGAATATTATTATTATTATTTTTTAAGATTTTGTTTATTTATTTGAGAGAGAGAATGAACGCGCATGAAAGGGGGAAGGGCAGAGGGAGAAGCAGACCCCTTGCTGAGCAGGGAGCCTGATGCCAGGCTCCATCCGGGAATTCCAGGATCATGACCTGAGCCGAAGGCAGTCACTTAACCAACTGAGCCACCCACGCACCCCAAGGAAATTATTTTTTAAATGTCAAAACAACTGTTTTGTAAGGTTGGATTTCTGGTCCATTAAGCATGTATCCTTTTGTATATTGTCAAGTGCTGAAAATGCAAGTGAATCGTATGAAAACTTAGGGAGGGTTTTGCAGAAGAGCAGACTTGGGCAGAAGAGGCGTGAAAGGACTGTAAAGTGGGATTAGACAATATGATTAGTGAGGACGGCAAAGCACAAAGCAGGGAATGAAAGTCTTAAGAAAAGCACTCTTTGTTTGCATAGTGTTTTGTTACCTACTGTAGGTAATTCATGTTACCTGCTCTACCTTAGAGTAAATGCTACTGTTTGTGATTGAGGCTATTCTTTAAATTGTGCCCCTTTTGTTTGCCTTTCTTTGGTAGAAGCCTAAAAAGGCATTACCATTATTTTGGAAGTATTAAAAAAAAGTATGAGCGAAAAGTTTGGAGACACACTATGCCCATCAAATAGAAGACTCTGTGTTGTTCATTGTAAGAACCCTTGATGTTTTGTAACCTTGTAGACCCTTAAACTTGGCCACATGGCCTCCCCTAGCCAGTACTGAATAAGGCCACAAATCCAAATTCAGCGATTTTGTCATATCCCCAGGTCCCTCAACTGGGAGTCACCGTGAACCCCCATACCTTGCTCTTCTCTCCGCATTTGCATAGAACTATATCTCATTTGTATTTCCATCTTTTTTTCGATGAATACTGTATTGATGTATAAGTAATATATTTCGGTTGAAAGTCACTTCTGATTTCCTTCTTTATATTTCACTTTATCCATTCCTTCTCTGTGCTGAAGTATCTGTTCTGTTGCAGCCGCTCCTCTCCATGTCTTGATCGTGACAACAGCAGGTGAACTTCTGCATAATTCCTTCTCTGACCATGTGGCCTCCCCCTCTGCCCCTTTCACCATCTCCTTCTGCATATACCCCATCTCAGGATGCTTTAGTGTGAAGATACCTAGCCAGAGAAAGAGACAGATTTATATTCTCCAAAGCGTGGCCATTGCTGAATTCCCTTCCTCTATGGTGGAAAGAAAGTGGGTACTTTTTTTTTTTTTTAATCTCTTTGGAAATCAGGCGGGGTTGCACCAAAATTAATGTAGACCTACTGTGAAAGCCTATTTTGGCCATGGTCTCCATGTCTCCA